AAAGCAGACAAAAGGCGCTCTCTGATATGAATGTCTGGCCATTTTTGCCCAGTGTTATAAGAGCACTTGCCCAAAATTTCAAGTAACTTCCAAAGTTGTTATGTATTTTGAGCCAAGGTAAAAGGGCAGAGAGAGTCTTTTGACTCAAGAGGCTGTCATAGATTTTGTTTAGTGGGCAAGCATGCAAAAAGGATGGGAATACCCTTCATTCATCGCCCATTTTGGTTGGTCACTGTTACAGAGATTTTAAAAATTTAATTCTTGTTCAGATGCGAGGTTTTAAATTGCTGTGGTTGTTATTATACCGACGTAATTGAATCGTTTCTGTATCTTATAACACAAAACTCAGCGAATACGTGTAGGACCTATGTTTTGCCCAGCTGCCATTCCTCTACAAGTAATTTGAAAACGGCAGTGGTTTACCGCTTCACAGCCAAACAAACCTTTATAGATGAGAGTTGGTTATGTCAATACAATTTGGTTTGCCACAGTTTCCAGAATCATGAAGTAGGTATGAGGGTTATCATCTTGCAATTTAATGACTTCTTCAAAAGTAAGCTGCATTTTGTTTGTCGCTGTCTCTCTCTCTGTTTGTTGGTTTGTTTTTATGTCTGTCTGTTCCTCCACATCATTGTGGGGTAAATATCACTGGGTACGTGAGAGTTAAAATTAAACTTAGGAAATAGTGTTTCAATTGATGTAATGCTAACTTGAGGCAAGATATTAAATCATTCTGTGCAAAGAAAACTTGAAATGAAGTGTATGAAAACCTTTGATCATGCACATAAATTGTTGCTTTGTACATTTTAGCAAATCATTTAAATTGAATGATTTCTTGCATTTATGGGTAGAAAAATGAATTGCAATTATATTGAGCTGCACACAATGTATGCCGAGTTTGTGAATTTTCTTAAGAAGAGTTTGCTGCTTTTTAGTGTTGAATTAAAAATATTTGCACTTACCAGGTCTTACTGTTACAACCCAGATACAAAAAGTATTAGATACTGTAAGCTTCAGTTTTCATCATTATCGTCATCGAGGCCCATGTTGGAAAACTTCAAAACCAACAACAAAAAGGAATCTGTGAAAATTGCTCTTTTACAGATTGCCAAAGTCTCATTTTGCCAAAGTTTCTGGTTTTAGAGTAAACTACACCTAACCAAAGTGAACACCATGAGTGCTCTTTTGCAAAAACTCAGGGCAAACACACAATTGTGACTAGTTACAGCAGTTCCACTACCATAGATATATGAAGTCTAGATAATACCAGACGATCCAAATTCATAAATGTAATTATGCAGAAGTTCTACAGTTTTACATGAGCCAAATTGAAATGTAAACAGTACTATCCCGTGAAATGAATGCTAGTTTAAGAATGGTTTGCAGATTTGTAAAGGTCTGCTTAGAAAGAGTAGTATCAACAAACATCAAATGTAATCATAGAATTTAGTCAGAAAATTAGATTAGCTTCCAAATTGTATGTCCCCTTTTCAAGAATGGTTTTTCTTTCAAATAATATGTCATTAGATAAATAAATTTTAATAATGTATTGTCATCTGCAACACGCAAAGCCCAATTACTCCAATATCAGTATTGACAAAAAAGCAAAATATATGAACATTTTGGGATATTATAGCAGGAGATAACTCACGATTGTATACCTACCTGTAGTACATTTATATCAATTCCATTGCTACTGACGAGCAAGTGTTTGTTGGAAAACTTGTGTAAAATGCAATGCCTCATATTCAAATAAGGTAGTCCACTTCCTTGTTTTGTAATTATTTACAATGGCAGATTTGTAGCACTAACATCACAGAAATTTAAATAGCTTTCTTTTCGCCAGTAGAGGGAAGAATGGAATATTTTTTCATTCCAAAAGCGAGCAGTATCTGTTAGAATGTAGGCAGGGAAGTAGAGTAGAGTCACTCAACAATGGTTAGATCAATGAGAGAGAAATAGATATTTTTTAGAAGAGAATCATGAATTTATTAGTTAATTGATTTAAGAGTAGACCAGTGAGTTGTGCAGAAGCAATCATGGAATGTATTTCACTAGATGTGTGTGGGTGTGTGTGTGTGTGTGTGTGTGTGTGTGTCGTGTTCATCGACTCTCATGTGGAGCACGTGCAAACAAAAATGGAGAAGTTTGACTATTCAAAGGCAAAGAGATTTTAAAGTGTATATTTGTGCTTGGAAATGCATGAATTGTAATTTATGTTATCTATAGAATATAAATTGTGTAAAATAATACCCTTCAATGTTTGGGAGATTTGAAATTTCTTGAAGTATTTAAATGAAAATTCTGGAATTCTAGATCTCTTTTCCCCCTTGTATTTTTAAAGACAAATTTCCATCATTTTATTTCCATTATTCGAAAAGATGAGTTTGCAAATTGCAATATCCTTCTTTTTTTTTTCCCCAATAATATTTTGTTCAATTGTAATATCTTCAATTTTCTTAATATTTAGCACATATCTGTTTGGGGTTTGGAAGATGTTGTCCTATTCAAAGGAGAAAGTGTGCTCTGAAATTTGATCAAAATGTCTCTTTAGCCCCCAAAAGACCCCCCCCCCCTCCCCCTCCCAAACAAAAAGTGTCTATTACCTTTGAGTTTGCACTTGAAGTGCAGTGCTTCTTTGTTCTTGCTTTGTTAACTATAAAATGGTTTAGTCTTTAGGTATTTGCATTTGAAAAAATATTTTCTTGTTGTAAATCATCTTGTTTTTATGTACAGTTTGTTTTATTCAGCTGACAAGTCTAAACTTTCCACTGAAATGTGAGGGAATGAATCAAGAATAAAAAAGAGCAAATTCATAACATTTGTTTTGTATCATCTTGGTTAATTTCTCAACTGTTTTGCAGAGAGCTGTGAGGATCTATTGTAACCCCCATGCTTTCTTGATGTAGGTATTGTCATGAACTGCACACCAAACAGCATGGTCATGCTGGACATCTGCAGAAATATGTTTCTTGTATCATACACACAAATAGTAGGTTATGGGGAGGGTGGGGTATGTGTTGTAAAGTAATACTTAAAAAGAAGATACAAACTCACATTGATCAGTATTCTTGTGGGTCTGTTTTCCTTAAAAAGGAGTTTGTTTGTGTCTAGTTTGACCATAGATCAGTCCATTATGACCAAACTGCATGTTCTCTTCATTTGTTTTGAATATTGAGATGCAGGAAAGGGTTACTGAACAACCAAATTGTGATTTTCTTATTTAATGCCTGGTCTGTGGTCAAACTTTAATATGGAAAGCAGGCCCCTATGTTTATAGATATACATGTATGCTAAAAATCATGTAATTCTCTTAAGAACTTGAAATAAATTTACTAAAGAGAAACAGATATTTGATACAAGATTATTATGACAGATGTTGGTTGTTCTTGCGTTTTAAACAAAAAAAATAGAGAAGAATGTATTTATATATTATATATATGATTGTTGAATTATTGTATGTCTCGTTATATATGGATAGCCATATTATTTGTTTCAAGATGGAAAATGTGATATCTGTTGTACATGTTTATGAATACTGAAAGCTGTGTGTGTAATGATTTGTTCTGTATACTATTACTGAACATTAAAATAAAACTAACAGAAAGAAACAACGAAAATATGTGTGTGAACTTTTTCTTTTCTCGTTTGAATTGTAGTTCAATGCATGTCCTATGTAGTCCGGCTTTTATTATAGATTGTTTGCATGTATATTTTACATAATGTAATACGAGAATAATACCAGTATTTTGTTGATTATAATATTCAGTCGTAGGGGAAGAGCTTTGTTTTATTGAGTTATGATATTTTTGCTTTTGAAAAGCAAACTGTTTGTGAAACTACATTGAGTTTTAGAATCATGGAAAGGTATATTAGGCTTAGATAAAGTTGAGGATATAGTAGAGGGCGAGAACAGTGGACAGTGTCGTATGAGGAGATATGGAGCTAAGGATTATTTTCCCCTTCAATCTCTCTACCCGTTTTCCCGCCACACCCTCCCCCCGTCTGTATCTCTCTCTCTTTTCTTTTCTCTCTCTCTCTCCTCCCTCCGTCTCTCTGATAAAATTGCAACATTACAACATTACAATATGTTTATGACCATTTCATTTATTCAAAACAATCTATCAAATGACCTCGCTTATATTCATCAGAGTTCAATAAAAGTGTACAGGTGCTTTGGTTATTATTCAATTTATTATTTGAATATTATGGATAGCCCAAACATGATTGTAGAGGGAGACACATTGAAACACAAGAAAGGGCGGGAAGGGGGAGGGAGACATAGAGAGACAAGAGATATATATATATAGAGAGAGAGATAGAGAGAGAGAGAGAGAGAGAGAGAGAGAGAGAGAGAGAGAGAGAGTCGAGAGAAAATGATTATGGCACATGTAAATGTAGTTTTCTTTTAAACTCTCATTAAATACGTAGGAGTATGCACCTATGCACACAACATGTACAACTAACACAGTCTTCTACAATCGAAAGAATATTGCACGGTACTCATGAAGAAAAGTCACAATTCATCAAAGGATAATCCAACAATTCTAAAATATAAAAGTAAGCAGAAAATCAGAGAAGCAGACTGGTGAAAGTTTGAACGAAATCGTGTTTCAACTGTGTTAACACTATCACACTTTGTTCACACTGTTAACACTGAGCTGATATAAATTGGAATCGTTAGTATTAAGTAAAGACACTAATCACAATACTTTCGCGTTGTGTGACACACCATAGAAACAGTTTTGTTAGGAGAAAATGTGCAATATTTAGATCACAGGATTAATCCGACATTAAAAACAAGTTGGAGCATTTTAATAGTGTGGACAATGAACGTATACTGTGTCATCATTGTTTACATTGTTACCATACTATGTCCACACTTTTAACACTGTTGGTGCTATGTTAACGCTCTATCGATATACTGTGTTCACATTTACTGTGCTAACTAGCATTGTTCATACTGTGTCAAATTACATCATGTGTTTACAATGTTCACATCTTGCTATTGCTGTTTTAACACAATTCATACTGTGTTCAAAGTGTTCACATTGTGTCTATTTTGTGTTAACACTAATCATGCTTGGTTCATACCGTTAACACTGAGCCAATACTGTGTTAACACTAATTCGTACTGTGTCCTAATTTAGTTCAGTGGTATTTATACTATTGAAATTCAGGTGCTAACAATGTTAATGCTGCGCTCACTCTATTCATGCATGTGGTTTGTTTGCAAGGACGTGTTCACAGTGTTTTCACACTATGTCCAATCTATATATCGAACCCGGTCATTCAGGCTATAATGATAAAATGGCGAAATAACTACATGTTGTATATGGGGCGAAATAACTACAAGGGGACTTTCTCCTCAGCGTTGTTCGTAAAACTTTCTACATCGATCACGAAGCTGGAGCCATTTTTCTTCCACACTGCTGCTAATTTTCCTTCCTTCAATACTTGACCATCAGATTTGACTAGTCTCACATAGCTCCACTCAAAGAGCCTTTCGCTGTCCAGGTCATCACCGACTTCTTGCACGCTTATTCCAAGCTTAGTAGCGCCGAGTTTGCGGAACCATCGAAAAATAGCCTCTGGTGGTAAAGATATAAAATACAAGAATAAGTTAAACATAAACTCTCACTTTTGAATTCAAGTTCATTGCATGAAATGTATTCATTTATCTTCATTTAAAGATGCTGATGATAACAATTTTACTTCATGAAGATAATGATTATAATGATAATCGCCAGCTACATGAAGATTTTGTTCGAGCAAGCAGAGCAATCGAAATGATTTACGATTTACAACTTCATAATATTATTGAAAAACACACTTTGATAAACGCTTTGGGAAATGTTGTACCATGTACCTTACTTGAGGGTATATAATTCAGGTAAAACAATATGAAATAAAATGTCAAGCAAAGATGTTTACGGGCTTACACATATTCTGTTGATATAACCACGTGTTGATGCAAACTGGACGTTTGTATCATTTAATCAGTGGCTAATTTAGCAAGTTATAACCTTTTTATTACTACTTATGTTTGGTGTAAACATCACCCAAAATCGTCTGTCGAGAGCCAGAAATGCACGATGTTAATTCATAAACGATATGCCTAAATGCCTGTTTAATTCAGGTTTCAATAGGTGAAATATAACCATTCATTTGTTTCTCTCTTATTTTTGCTTGTCAGAAAAGTGAGGGAATTCCTTTCAGAAAACCAAAATGGTGGATCCGCCCCTGCACATCTAAGCTAAATTTCGCAGTCTTCCCCATTAGACTCTCTGGCACACGCTGTATACAGGATTGTGCAGTCATCAGCATATGCGACCTTTTACATTTCTATCAGCCCAGTTTTCAAATGGCAAATACGTAAATAGCATTGAATATAGCAGCCGAAGCTTTTTACCCCTTAACCTTCTGCGATTTCTAAACGTAGAAGAAAATCAATTCGATGCCTTAGATGTTTTCAAATATGCATACGATTGACCTCATTTCTAGAGAAAATGCTACTAGTGGTGGCAAGTCAGGCTTGCTCGCCCTTTACTTCAAAATCAACACTGAAATTTTATCAATAAATAGGCATGTATAACGTACAATCATAGCTATCTCATTTTGTGAATGATGAATTTACATGTAGTAATATATTTTGTTATATAATGCTCATATACGTATACCACACAATATGCTAAAGGAGTTACAATAAAGAAGGCTAAACAAAGTCTGTGCCCACAGTATTTGATGAATTCCTTGTTCGCAGCCCCATTTAGACTTCGCCTGGCTGGAGAGGGGCAAATATAAATTAATGTCTCGCTCCCACGATAGATAAAGAGAGACAGAGTTGGAAGTGGATAGAAAGAGATACATACAGGGAAAGAGAAGAGAGAGAGAGAGAGAGAGAGAGTGTGTGTGTGTGTATGTGTATATGTTTGTCAGTGTATACAGATAGACTGACTGAAACAGACGTATAGAGAGGGTGAGGGAAGGAGTGAGAGAGAGAGAGAGAGAGAGAGAGAGAGAGAGAGGAAAAACACACACACACACGCACAAACAGAGCGAAAGAGAGGCAGAGAAAGAGAAAGAGAGAGAGAGAGAGAGAGAGAGAAAGAAAAAAGGAAAGAGAGGGAGGGAGGGAGAAAAAGAGACAGACATACAGACAGAGAGATGACAGACAAACAGACAAAAAGACCAAGGTAATTCAAATGCCACTTAAGATTCATGGGATGCTATTGTAAGAGGCCTGACTGACCTGGTGATTTCTCTGCCGCCGGGCTGCATCCCGGATACATCATGTGTGCCTGAGGTGAGTAGAGTTTGGTCGCGATTCCCGCCAAATCCTCGAAGTTGAAGAGAGTCATGTGCAGACGTCGCCTCTCGAGCACGAGCCCACGAACCGCAGCCTTAGACGACGACGATGACGACGGGGTGGCGGCCATTTTTAAACACTAGCGTGCAGTTCGATCTAGAGTCAGTCAGTTTACCACCAAGACAATATTTGCCGACGTTATATAAAAATATATCATCTCAGGGCAATTTGCAGATGTAGGAAAGTGGCCGTCTGGCATTCATAACTTACATAATATACAATCACAAAGAGACTCAAACACATCTAGGTAAAACACAAAACTTGATGTTAAACGCTGACAATAACTAATTGATGTTGCGTAATAAAGCAATCCAATTTAATAGCCAATTGCATGTAACCATATGCACTAAACTAACATTTAATGATGCTTCGTGTGATGATAAAATGAATGTCGTCCCACGTGGCAGCTCGCTTTGCGGGTCGTCGATAAAGAGATGAGCTACAGCAGAAGAGAGAAGCAGAGGCGACTCGGAGGCATGCAAGAAGAAGAGCCAGAGATGCATATCAAACCACTTTAGTCGTGCACATGTCATTATGCATCGAGCGAGGACTCTAACAGGTGACATGGCCGCTTATTGTATGCTCATGTGCAGACAGGGTCGAGTTCACACTAGCTTTACCATCCAAATCACACTGACAAGACAGAAAACAGGGCAGCGCTTCACGAAACCGCCATAAAAATGCATGAAAAATACTTTTTTTTAAAAATAATTTCGCCTACGTTTCGGCGACATATTCAAATGGAATTTTTCGAAATTGTGCTTATGATCGTTTCGTGAAACCGATGCAGACACCGACAACAGACCAAAGTGCAGAAGAAGAAGAGGTGAAGAAAAAGAAGAAGAAGAAGAAGAAGAAGAAGAAGAAGAAGAAGAAGAAGAAGAAGAAGAAGAAGAAGAAGAAGAAGAAGTAAAAGAAGAAGAAGAAGAAGAAGAAGAAGAAGAAGAAGAAGAAGAAGAAGAAGAAGAAGAGGAAAATACCAAACTTCCCTATATGGCCAAGATAATGCAATTGCAATGGTTTTCGGAGTCGGTTTTGCGATGTGACATGGAGTATTATTACATGTAATTTAAAACGAGGAGTCATTTATACTTCGGGAAAAGTTCGTTCGATTAAATACGTGTTTATATATCCTTCCGAAACCATGAATGATAGAATCAGCGTCATAATATTATACATCAATGTGTAACCATTTTGTTTTTTGAGCCGAGATGTTATATCAAGTAAACCTTACCCTTGTGTGTATATGAAGAGAGATATAGACAAGATAATAATTATGAAGCATTCCTGAATCAATACAATAGGATGGGTCAATATTGAATGTTCAACTGTGTAACTGTATATGAATATCACCGGTAATCACAATGGCACGGAATCATGTTCATATTTCGATGACTCAGCCCGCAATGTTTGCATAATTCATATCGAGATTACAATGTGCCTCGACAAAAAAAATAAGTATGATTTGCAATGTGTGCAGCGTAGCGTAATGAACGACAGACAAGATGAACGAAATATTATAGGTGGATTGTTAAATCAAGAATTTATTTTCACGTTCTTATGATTTAACACGTTGAAAACATTCAACCCCCTGATCCCCCTCTACCTTTCTCTCTCTCTCCCTCTGTTACTCGATTTCCCTCACATTTTCACCCTTTTTCATACCTCTATCTCTTTCTCCCTTCTCTCCATATCTCTCTCCCTCTATATGTCTTTCTATCCTCCTCTCTCTCAGCCTTGTCTCTTTTTACCCCACGGCCCCTGTCCCTCTCTGTTATCTCACTTTCACCTTTCCTATCTTACGTTGTGTATGATAAGCCCCTTTCTCTACAATATATAAACCGTGATATAGGATAAAACAACATTCTTTTGCTCTAGCAAAGAGATCATTAATATACATGAAAAATAATTTAGGCCCCATCATTGCGAAATAAAGTCTTTCAACCCAGGCATTTTGTGTGCGACAGAAATGCATTCAATCATCCAAAACTATCCAATGAATGCAATAATATAACAATGGACTTGGTGGGACAAAGCTGTGAATATGAAAGATGAATCATATTTATTCTTTTTGTTCCGAGCTGTAAAATAAGCTTTTATGTGCAATCATTAAATCCATATCAATTCTCAAACAATTCATCGTTATTTTAAAAGTTTATTTGGATACACTATAGACAGCTGTTATTTCCGCACTTGCACACCGTGTACATTTTTTTTTATCGAGAAACAGAGTTTGCATTAGATATGACTCATCACCCTCTCTTTCTCTCTCTCCCTCTCTTTCTCTCTTTCTCTATTTCTGAAACAAAATCCATAACGCTGTGTTTGCTTGAGGTGTTATCATTGTCATCAGTGTGACGTAGGTGAATTTCAATGGGGGTAGCTCCCGATGTCGAGGGGGTATTAAGGGTGGACCTAGCCTGCATGCCCCCCATCTATTAAAACAGATCAATGGTAAATGCTCATAAATATACTGTATATAGCAGTTGTTAAGTTATTCCGGAAACATTTTGTTTAAAAATGTACACGTACTAATAATATACTTATATGTACGTACTTAGAAAATGAGGAAAAAATGCAATGGGTTAAACAAAAAAATGAGCCTATATACCTATTTTTAAAAAAGCCCACGTGATATACGGAACTGTTATGGTCGTAATATCAAAGTAGCCTACCGTATGTAGATGTTTGCTTTAAAACAAAAAGTTTGTAAGAGCTACTTCAGGCAAAAGTCAAACCTAATGTTCCTTTGAATGTATTTTATATTTCACCAAACTGCTGAAATGTCGCTCAAGTAGGTATTACAAGGAATGATTTGGGGAATATAAATGAAAACAAGTCTACCCGCTAACTTCGAAATTAAATAAATATTCTCGATACAGTCAACGGCCATGGGGCATGCCCTTTCTTGAATTGAAATGGAAAACGAACGACAAGCTTTGTTTATTATTTGAAACATGCACTATGAGGGGACGGTTATAGACAAGCTGAGTTTAATAAAGACTGCCCCTAAAAACTTTCAATAAAATAAGTCTCGCAGATGAACTCTCGGTTATAAATAGTAAAGGCATTGGAGAAAATGGCGCCATATGAAAACCTCAGGCTAACGAATGATGATCAGTGTGTGTGCCACCTGCAGTACCTCCCAATTTGAGGTCTGGTTTACTTTTAAGTTAAACCGCAACGTGTGAATATTACGTTCTATAATGATAATCATCACTACATTTCATAAACCCTTATCGAAGCTTCCATATGTGCAGATGAATAAGAACGGTAGAAAGGTGTCATTAACATTGCGGGTGGTTGCGGTTGGAAATGTGCATCCCTACAAATTCGAGCACCTCTTTTCCCGCGGTACGCCACAACGCTCAAAGTTCCGTGCACATAATACGTCTACCTCCTGCTTGCATGTGTGTGTGTGTGATGTCGAACTGGCTTGCCGAGGGGGACACAGCGAGTGAATGGAATTAAAACTATGGGCAGACGACACTCTAGCAGACAATGATTTTAGTCGCATAATGATTTTAGGTGCGTTTTGAGAGATCTTAGCTCACATCGTTGATCGTTATTTCCCCCGCCTTGCTATGTCTCCATCTGACATTAAAACACCTGCAGTGCTTTGGAATTTGTATTGGGAGGTGGGAGCTCGCTAGCTCGCTTGAGCTGAGTCGGAATTAAGATGCCCAAAATCCGCATCGGGTAATGAATGATCGAGACGTGTTGCTCTTCCTGACATTACATGCCGTAAATTTGTAAGGATCAAGTCTGCGATTCAAGTTCAATATCGACGTGGCATCACTTTCAACCTTTGCAGAATTGAACTACTTTAAAAAGATAATCCCGACCTTTTCATTTCAAGATACGAACAATAGACCCGTAAGTATATTATTCATTATAATCTACAGGTCTGATTTTCCAAAATACAACCAAATGGAATGTATGGTAATCACCAAGTTGATTATGAATCATTCATTCGTTTGTTTTTCACCAGGCTTCATTGCACAAGGAAACGATTTCATGTGGGTGAGATATATGCTGTGTATTTAATACCTTTTCGCAATCAGTTCGGATTGTGAGCGATATAACAATTTAATTTGTTTATGAAGGTTGTATAAACAAAGTCATGACTCATTTGTTATTCATTGGCTTTCCCAGGAGAACAGGGAATATGCATTTCACGGGGTGAAAAGAATTATAAAAATATGATCCTTATACCATAGCGATTGTTTTCTATGATACATAATATATTACGAACTTTACCCTGTATATCAGTGTATGTAAAAAAAAAATTAATTGACGATTGACTGGTTACGATATCTAAATAATTCACAGGTAAATCAAGTTTTAAAAAATATGACTGATCGAGCCGACAATTTTGTTATCCTGTATTTTCATTGGATTTCAACATGCATTAGAATTTACAGCAACCTAACAGTCTGGAAAAGAAGAAGAAAAAAAAAAACGCAAAATTTCTTTCAAGAAGAATTAGCGTGATAACCATAATAGCATACACAATACTTTTATTTACAATTCATTGTGAACCTCTACATACGTTTCCCCGAGTTAAAGTTTATATAGAAAGTGCTATTTAAGACAATTCGAGATTCAGCTAAAATGTCGCCAGGTTATGTAAAGATGGCTCAAAATCTAATACGAAAACATTCCATAAGAAAAAAACACCTTTCTTGCTTAACCTGAATACCTAACCCCCAGATCATTAAAGCTATTGATCATATATTTATAAGCAGAAAAGGAAAATTTTGTAGCACTCCTTAATGACCCCCTAAAAGAGGTCTTGCATAATTTATCATAATGCCCATTTCAATGCTAGATATTCATAAACAATTTCTCTTTTAACTTTTCACTTAGGAGAAATCTATGCCATGTTTATACAAATATTCAATTGCACACATGTTTTGAATATTGTTTATTCATTTTATTTTGTGAGGAGAAGGGTGACATTTGTTTTCTTTGAGGGGGGGGGGTGATGTTCACACCCACTTTGCCTTAATTTGGTGATTAAACCGAGTTGATATGTCGTAACAGTGTAAAAGAACGGGGGAAGAAAGGAAAAATAATAGGAAGGACAATCGCTGAAATTCCCCAAGCTTTTGATATAGCAAGATATGAATTAATAACATACTAATATATATTATTTATATCCTCATATAGGATGAAATGCTTTTCAAGATGTTGATTTTCAAACATGGCTTCCTATGAGTTGATAAGAACATGTAAAATGCACCGTAACAGATTATTGGCCTATTCAAGCATTTTGATTAATCGGGAAAGAAGAATAAAAGTTTTTAAACTTGTGATGATTAATACTGTTTATATTTGTTTAGCTACAAAATACCACGATTACGATAATTACCGAGGTGAATTGTGCAATAAAATAAACTCTTTTCACAACTCGGTATGACGTATATAATATGTGTTGGTCATAGTGGTTGAGTATGGCCTGCCAAATGAAGTCTGTGATATTTGAATTGCGTTAGATCAACACTATCGCTGACTATCATAACTCTGTGGAAATAATGTACATGACTATGTGTGTGTGTGTGTGGGGGGGGGGGGGGGGGGGGGGGGGACGCACCTATATTTCTGATGTTTTGTAGCTATAATGTAATACAAGTTCTTTTGAAATAAAATCTTGGAAACAAAATTAATGTCTTTCCAATTATAAGTTGATGTCAGAGTGGGCTTGAATATTTCGTTCTACTGTTACGGCCTTAATTTTACTTGTTTTCCTCAGAAAATCAACAACCGCCAGACAACGATGGCGTGTGCGACATCAACGAACACGGGGAACGATGAACTGGACGTATCGATCACGGAGGCGATCGTCCAAGCCCATTCGATGTACGACGAGCTCTACAACAGCCGACAGCTAGAGAAGATGGTTGATTCCATCTACGCTGAGGATTGTTGCGTCATGATGGAAGGGCGTGACGTCATCCGGGGTAGGAAAGGTGAGGTTTAAATTGGGAATCAGTTATATCTGTATTTCATAACAACACATCCGACCAAAATACTCCGAAGGCCACTGACAACCTTTTTAAAGACTGACACAAACCTTTCTGCGACCTCGAGCAGAGGTTGGCGGCGACCAGTCGTTTCTCTAGTTTAACTTAGGCTTAATAATCCTAGACGCTCATTAGCATACCTCCTTTATAACGATTACTTGAGTAGGAAGGTGGTTCTAAACGGACTCTGGTAAAGATAATTACAAGCCTAAAATATTGACACTCTTTTTGAGAGGGAAAGAGATAGATAGAGAGAAAGATAGATATAGAGAAAGAGAGCGAGAGAGAGAGAGGGGGAGAGAAGGGATGGAGGGGATTAGGTACGATGTGAAATGTATCGAAGATAGAAAAAAATTAAAAAAAACAATATGACGGACGAAACTTCTATAGAAGACTGAGCACGATCGCAACTACTTTTGAAAATTCAACCTAAATCATCTTCAATAGCATTGTTCGTCACCTATAAGATGATGACGTGAATCCTAATCAAGTGATTGGTTGAAAGCGTACACGTGACTAGGCTTTTATTTTACCTAACGCGTAATTTGGATAATGACCGGTCATTATCCAATTCTAATGACCGGTCATTAGTAAGATCATTTTATATACAAAAAATAAAATATTATCTTCTAAAACAAATAATACACAGGACTTTTTTCGGGCATTAGTAAATTATTACCCACACTCGGTATCTTCAAAACAGTCCAAACACCCTCGGCTACCGCCTCGGGCGTGTTAGACTGTTCCAAATGTACCTTGTTTGAGTAATTCTTACTAATGCCCTCACTACTGTGTATTATTTGTATAATGTTCGTCACCTTTTAATATTCCAATGACAATGAGGTATTACGTAATCCGAACGTGATTTCTATGGGATGTATAATAGGGTATCGAAATTGCCTTTAAGATGATTGTTTTTTCCGAAAATACTCGTGATCGTGTTGCTGTAGAAAAATTAGAAGAGCATAAAGATAGGGACTGAAAAAAGACGAAAGCGAAGAATAATTATGTGGAGAACAGGAAGGAGGACAAGAAATAAAGATTACAGTCCTTTTCAAGACTCCTCAATCCTCTCCCTCTCTCACACATGGTGCAACCGTAAACCTACTGTATATAAGTGGAATGGTAATGAAGAAAAGGTAAAAGGAAGAACGTTAATAGAGAGACATGAAATATATTGTGATATAAAATTAAAAGTGATGTCTAACTGTTTTGTGATGAACAAGGACAGACTGAGCCAGATTGTACATTAATTGTGACTGGCTTTAGAGACATGAAGAATTAGAAAAAGATTATACGAATCAACCGCTTCCCTGCTCTCTCTCTCTCTCTCTTTCTCTCTCTCTCTTTCTCTCGAATAAAACTGCTTTCATGTTTCTTTTTACAGAACTACTAGAGCTTCTATGTGGCTTTTCGAAGGACCCCAGCCATCATCGCGTGGAAAGCAATGCGATGGAGATTCGAGAGATAACTGCACCGGGCCAGCGAATTTACGAGCTCGGTCGCTATTCATTTTTCGACATCCCTAACACGGGACGCGCGGACGGCAGACACGTCATCGTTTGGACTCGAATCGGCGGGAAATACTTTATCACTTTGCAAAGTATAAATCCGATTACATGAGGTTGACCGTGTGCAAATATCGTCTGCATCACTACGTTTGAACTCAAGAAGAAAGACGTTATGAGTATCCGTCAGAGAAAGGCTTTACTTGCGAAGAAGGCTAGATTGTATAAATATTGCACTTGAAATGGTTGAATGTTCTGAGCACCTTAGCGGCATGAATAGGACTTCTGTGGTAGGAAATAGTTTTTTGTTTCCTTCTTAAACTGGCACAATATGAAAGAAGGAATTGAATAGACTACCAGGATATTAGCAGATTGACAAATTCCCACAAGCGCACGCCCTGACATCGTAGTATAGTCGTGACTGCTTCGGTATAGTGCAATACAATGTAGCTGCGACAGACGCCCACGTTCTTTCGCAATATATAGGTGTTTGCTTCGAAGGTCCTGTTATATCGTCCAATATCATCCAATATGCTAAGCTACCTTTCTGAAGGTGATAGAGAATAAACTCAGCTCGTAGTGTGGACGTATAAGAACGTTTTAAAGGTTTCTCTGACTGTTAGTCAAAGTTGTGCATGAATACACTATATTGACTTTAAATAATGTGTTCTTATAGAAGTCGTGTTTCACTTGTACCCATGGGCATGGTAGCACATCATGGAGATAATTTCTCATTTTATTCTTGGTTGACTACGACAAAATACATCCTCTCGTAATTTTACAACGGCATTTGTTTAAAATTGGGTTTAACAAAGGAAGCTAATCTGAGTTTTAAATTGTCTTTAATTAATTAAACGTGATATATGACTCAGTGTATGGTTAAACCATGGACTTAGTTTATAGTTTAACTAATTTAGTAGAATGCGGATCATCTTGTACCGCAAACGTTGATGCCTGGTCTTGCGGAATACTCTTTATGAACGTAGTGACATCTCACCGTGTTACTTATTTAGAAGGTTACCCTCACTTAGTTTTGATGCGGTAACATTTTTCACTACAATGTTTCATAAAAGTGGCAAAACTTGATAATTTGTGAAGAAATTTTCGTCCAAACTACCCAGGGACATTATTTGCAATGAAAGAGAATAAATATTATGTTGGCAATAAGACGGTCCGACTCAAGGATTGTTGTAATTCCAGTAAAATTCTCGAGATTGAAATAGTTGAATTATGTTTATCTCCTCTGAAATCATGATGCATCTAGTATTGTCACGGAAAGATACGGCGCAATTTAGTAGCAAAGAAAGGAAATACTTGACAATATCGCACATTTTTATGTATTCAATAGGAAACGATCTACATTTACAATGGCATTTCTTCAATGACTGAAGAATAAATCAATTTTACCCGACATAGATAGAATGTCCTCATAATGAGAAGCGGTCCAAAGGTGAATATGGAAAGCGTCTCAAATGGCGAGCACCGCTGTGGCCGGGGGCTAGATTTCACCCGACACCGTGTGTGGGGGTAAGAGACCGGTATTCACAATATCAAATTATGATAATTTTGAATTCATCAATGAAATGTGAGAATAAGAATCGGTACAACAATATCTATCATTATTTAGTGTTCAATTTAATGGGTTGTGATCACTTGTGTAGATAAAATAAAGAATTGTAATGATCACTAAAGCAATGGAGATACAGTACATTCAGAATTCTCTTACATGCAATCGGAATGCGTAGAAAATTAATTTGACATTAGACTGTACATTCCCCATCTTGTAAGGCTAAGAGCGTGTCAAATCGGATACGAATCGTAATAAACTAAGCAATATATGAAGTATTGCAGATTTCATATTGTTTTTATGCAGTAATCTCTTTTAACAAGACATAATTTGTTTAGCAAATTAAATATATTTTATTTCTCGCGATCTCTATGTTATCAATACAATAAAATGATTTTTTATTTCTTATTAGCCAAACGGTGAAAATGATCCAGACATGGTTTCAATACCGCTTCAAAATCATACCACATCACTCTTTCCCTTTTTATTTCACTTTATTTGCATCTCTCCCTTTCTCTCTCTCTCTCTCTCTCTCTCTACTCTACCTCTTTCTCTCTCTCTCTCTCTCTCTCTCTCTCTCTCTCTCAATTTCCCTCTTTCTCTCCCTCTCTCTCTGACTGTTTCTTCGTTTCCCGGTCCATATCTCTCTGCCTTTATCACTCTCTGACTCTGTCTCTGTTTGTCTCTATCTGCCTGGCTTTCCTAGGCTGTCCCACTTTATCACATTCTCCCTCTCTTTTCCTCTCTCTTTTCATTTGTCTTTCTCTCCATATTTCTTCTCTCTACTCTCGTACCCAGTAAAGGCATACGAGACGTCCATAAGTTATATTAATTGTCGCCATTAAAAACAAGATTTATATTAATTTCCTGCTTACATACAATTCTGTTTTTCTGTATTAAACTTATGAATCACGATTTGGTCAGCAGCTTGTGACAACTGTTATACAAATAGTATCACTTCGGAACACCTGACAAAATATTGAATTCTTTTGGAAATGAATGAAATCCGAGACGCAGAAAACAAGATGAATATTTATAAACTGAACCATTATTTTTGATATAAAAGGGGCAGAGTCCAAGAGTAATACTCTTTTATTACATCACGCTTTCCTCTCAAATAATTTCACTAATCAGCACATTGCGCGTCCTCATTAAAAAGGAGTTTCCCTCTGCGCTTAATGAAATCTTATTCATAGTCCGAAACCGAAACTCCTTTGTTACGTCACGCGTAACTCTCAAACTCCAAGCTAGCTCGCTCAAGATAGAAATCCTTTTGTTACGTCACACCAAAGTCTTTGCTCCAATCATACCGCGCGACTCTTTGCCCAAGAGCGAATCTCTTTTGTTACGTCACACCTAACTATCAAACTTTGCTCCAATCAAAATGCGCGAGATGTTTGTGACGTATATGTACGCCTCCCATGGACCAACCCTGCTGTGCTTAGCTACGCAAACAATCCAATTTGAGAAAGAAAATGAAATTGCGATTCGACGCGACGAGATGCGATGTCTAAACCGCTGTTTGTTACAGTCAATCTTTTAAAGGGGATGAGAAATGTAACCAAGAAAAGGAACAGGATTACACCAATAATATCTAACATCCTTATTTTGAATGATTGATATGGTGAGTAAACCGAATGGCACAATTTTGTTCATTTAGCACTTTTGGCATTATTGCGCAAACTATGAGCTTACTAAATAGTTTTTTATCTAGTATAATCAAGGAGTTTGGTCTAAATAAATGGCAGTATTGTCTCAACTATATTTTGACCAAAGTGGCAAACATTCTTACACAAAAGTCATGTTATGTTATAGACAATAATATGTTCGTTGGTATAAGAACAGTGTTTTAAGAGAGAGAGAGAGAGAGAGAGAGAGAGAGAGAGAGGGGGGGGGGGGGGAGGGATGGTAGAAGAATGTGCAGGAAAAAAAGTTGGTAGATCTACACCCCCTTCTATGTTCATCACTCGGATACCTTGTAATCTCGCATTCATTGGCCTCGTAATATTTATTTTGTAAACAAATTTAAAAAAGGACAAACCTGGCCCATTACATTGGCTAGACCCATCTAAATTCGTGTTTAAAATTTGTGAATTGTGACGTTTGGCTTTAGCTTATTTTGATATCTCGTTTAAAAGAACGTTCAGTCTCTATAACAAGAATTAATACGTCTCACTGGCCTATACATTGCTTTTATTATCATCATACAGTATAGTATTTAATAGGACTACTATGCACTCCTGTCAATCTTTATTTTCCGAAATAGGATATTGATTCGAAAGCACCAAAGAAAAACAACTCTTCTCAAGATGTGAACGCATCGCTGCCATTGACAGGCATTCAACAGACAGCCAAAAGCGAGATGGGATTTTGCCATTACCAGCCGGAGATGGCGGCGTTCACATCATTTGTATCCGCAAGTCGAAGTGCAGTGAGTGAAATTGGCGTCCCTCCTGCTTGCAATGGCAATTCCCCCCTCCCTGAAAATCTGACGACGCGTTTTCAGAAGCTTTCCCTCCGAAGTACCTTGGATACCACCTGTTTGAATGGAGTGGATCTAGACGATAGCGATGATCACGGTGACGAATCGGAGGATGGTGACGGTGTTGTCAACGGTGTGTTGTCTTCATCTGATGTCGACATGGTGGATGAGGTCATTGACGATGACGAAGGAAGGATATCATCACACCGAAACAAGTTTGATCGAATTCGGCTCGACGAGTACCGCGCCCACCTGGTCGACCACGCCAGCGAGGTCATCCAGTCTTTCTACGAGAGGTGCAACGTTCGATTAGGCAGCACGAACAACAACTCTAACGTCGACTCGATGCAGGCTTCGTTGACCTCTTCGTTAATAGCATTAGATATCCCAAATGCACCTCATGGGGATGTCGGAATCTCGCTCCCAAAATCACTACGCCACCAGGCCTTGAAGCACAGTGAGAAACCCGTCTCGTTATCGTCATCGACGCCAGACGACCACGTGAAGAGACGACCACGAAAGAGGGTATCATTCACGAGTGCTCCATCGGTCAAATGGTTCAGAAAAGACGATAGGATTGATTTACCCACGAAGGGAATGGAAAAGCATAATCTCATCGCCATTTTAAGACAACTCGTATTACCACAGAGGAAATACAGAGAGGAAAGTACGTGTAAACTGAAAGTTATACCCATCCTGAAGAAAAGATATAAACGACTAAAAGCATGACAACTTTATTTGAAGAAAAAAACACTAAAGAAAGTTTAATAGGGAAAAATTCACTGAGAATGGCGCTAAAGAAAATTTCACAATCAACGGTCTAGTAACAGCGACAACAACAGCAGCAACAGCAACATAAATAACAACTACACCATCTACAGCAACAGCGACACCAGAAACAAGAACGACAACAGCAACAACAAAAACAACAGCGGCAACAACAACATAGCATTCCCATTTGTATACTAGAAATCCGTTTTTCTTAATGACTACATACATTCTGGTTTTAAAGGTCCCAATCCGACATCATCAAAAGGATATACAAAGCTTATAAAGGTGGTCACGTCATTAAACATTTGAGGCATGCACTTTCTTTCTATATACAATTATCGAGATCATTTCCAGAAAATGAAATAAATCAAACAAAACTCAAAATGTGTTTACAAACTAAGTGGCAAGTTTATTACCAGTAAAAATCAGATCTGTACATATTCAATCATTTATTTCTTATTCTGATTATCAATTCTTTCTAATCATAATTTGTTACTTCTTTATGTACATTTTTTGAATTAATTGCACTTGATTGATTAAAAAAGTTTGATTCACTAATTAGCTAATGCTTAATCAATCTAATTTTTCTAATTCATGTAACGTAGTGCTGGATTGCGTATTTCAATGTATGTATTTTGCAGATTTTAACACATTGTAGAATAAGCGATAGCAACGGGGAAATGGGCACAGAAAAGCATCAAGGTAAACGCGCTACAAGGGAGATTTTATCACGACAATTGTATTGTAAGGACAATTCTTTAAAAATATATTTGAAAAAATCCCAACTTAACGCAATTTATTCAAATCGCATCTATTACATATTAATTAAAATTTGTGTGTACAAGCGTATGATTAATAATTAAATATGATTTAACTACAAAAAAGCTTAGCTATTTTCTAAAACTGAAGCAATAAGTTTTAGAAAGAAGGAAAAAAAACTACAAAAGAATGTCAATATATACAGAAAATGATTTCAAAATAAGCAAGTGCACAACTTCGAAAGACATTAATTGAACAGGTCATTGAAATTCTTAATGTTCGATGAACTCGACGAAAGGCAAATTTATGTCGTAATAATTGTGTTCAAGTTTAAAACGTCTTATTCAAATAAAAGGGCTCAAAGAAAATGAAACGAAAGGGTTTTTATTAATAGTGGTTGTGGTGTAAGGTATGAATAATTAATATGTGATATTCATTTGCCAGAAGCTAAGCTCCTTGAATTTGATATATTATGTATACTCCTGATGTATACCTCTGATGTGTTTTGTATATTTATAAAGATACATGAGTTACCGAAAATATTAATGAAAACAAACAAACTAGTCCAAGGGGCTTTTCGTAAATGAGAATATTTGTCAGTGTTATATTTACTTCTAATATCAAACAGGAACAAAATCACTCGATTTGGCAATCAGAGATTCGAATTTTGTAGTGAATGTTTCACTCTCATAGTACTCCTAAAACGTGTCGACTCATTGTCCTGGCTTAATGCTTGAGGATGAAACGCTTCTTACGATCTCCAAGAATCAACCTAAGGAAAAGAAACAAAAGAAAACAATTGATATTATAATCATTAACCAAGCTTCAATGCATTATATTTTCAGGTACCTTATTATGACACTTAGTTGTTATCTCTTTGTGCCGTCATGCCGAGTGGCTATCTCATAAACATGATTGACAAACCTGCTGTAAAATAACTTTTATAAAAAAAAGGACCGCACATTGCATGCTAGGTACAAAGATAAAAACAGATACCCCCTCCAAGTCACATTGGGACACAAGTTTTTTTAAAATTATAATCTTTTGAATATTGGGACACAAGTTGGTCACGTTCACTTTGCTTGAAAGGTCAAGTTCAAGATCCCTGTATATGGGTGACCTTTACTACAATATATTATAGAGTCCTGATTTAAAGGCATTTACATTTGCCCCTCAACTGGATCTATACCAGTAGCGGTTCTTGAGGGGGTCTTGGTGGCTCAAGCTCCTCCCTGCGTTTAGATAAACATAATCGAGGTACATGTAGAAAATGAGTACAATAACCCTCAAGCCCTCTAAAGCCCTCTCCCCTCACCAATACTTCAAACATGTTGGCAAACTAATATGGGGTTTTAGAACTTCTTAAAGCCGTTTTGATAAACTTAGATTTACATTGTTTTTATGAGGTCTATTTTGTGTAGGCAAATGGATTATCTTGGAGGAACCCTGTTTGTTTGATTTCATTTTTCTTCCATATTGGCAATCTTCGCTCTTGTCTGCAAAAGTGATCACTGAATCTCATCGACCCCAGCCCCCCCCCCCCCATTCATTTTTTTTTGTCAGTAGCACATGTGATCGTTTCGGAGTAAATACCTGTAGAAGAGACCAGCCAGAAGTCCGCCAAGCGCAGGTCCTGCCCAGTAGATGTAGTGCTCTGCCCAGTAGCCCGAGATGACTGCAGGTCCGAAGCTACGAGCGGGGTTGAAAGAGCCTCCGCTGGAGTGGTACCTGTAGATTAACAGATGTAATAGAGAGAGAGAGAGAGAGAGAGAGAGAGAGAGAGAGAGAGAGAGGAGAGAGAGAGAGAGGTGGGGGGGGGGGGAAGGAAAAATGAGAAGATGATGGATACTACATCGGATTCAAACAAATAAAGTAAGACCAGTACATCTCACTATCACCATCCCCTACTGGTCCTAACTCATATCATAGATAAAACAGGTAAAGAGAATGATGTCACAATATGAAAAACTAAACTTGGGCTAAATTTGCATTATGTTAGATAAAACCCCTGTGATTGTTCATCATTCAATCAAATTAAAAAGAAAAAAAAATCAAATCAACCATTCAAATTAAAAATGTTTAAAAAAAAAATGCAAAAAAATAACATCAGCTTTATTTTTCCAGAAATGTTTGCTTTTGATTCGAGGATAAAAATATTAAGATTGGCACTTACGCGCAAATGATGCTGACGAGGACGGCAAATCCGTAGGCGAGTGGGCCGGTGCTCTGGCGGCCCTTGGTATCAAGGTTGGCCATCAGGTAGACGAGAAAGATCATGGTGCTGAGGACGGTCTCGATGACAACAGCGGTACCCGTTGTCATGTCCAGCTGGCGGTTGGCGTCGTACTTGTCGTAAGGTACAAGGCCGCGGTACTGGTTGCAGCCGCCCTTGATGTCGTAGTAGGAATCATTGAGGACCACCGCCTGCGAGAGAGAGAGAAAGAGAGAAATTGAAATGACTATTTGCTTCATTATTGAAATGAGCAAAGTGTAGTTTTTAATAAAGTTTAAGGGAATTTTCGAGTAATTTTGCGTACACTTCGAATAGAATGGTGTGGATAGATCATGGTGTGAATTCAGGTATGAAATTACATTTTGTTTAATGTCGTGGTATAGTGGTTCAAGCACTTGACTATCATTCCAAGGGTTGAGGGTTCTGAAGACATTGATTATTATTATTATCATTATTATTTTTATTATCATTATTATCATCATCATTATTATTATTATTATTATTAGTTTATTATCATAATATGATTATTTTCAGTATCATATTGTCATCATCATCATCATCATCATAACGGCATACTTTTTAAAAGTGTTTCTGATTGTTTATTTATTCTAAATTATTTTGCCAAGTGAATCTGTGATATTTCAAAAATGAACTGCAATTTGTAAGTGATCTATATTAAAATGTATGTTCTTATCATAATTTCGAATGGCCAAGAATCATTTTGAAATTTTGCATGTATATATATCAGTAATGGTTTTAGTTAACACAAAAATGTTTACTTTCCCTTTAATTCTTCATCTAATACTCGATTTTCCACAAATAAAAAGTATACCTTGATGAAAGCCGCTCCAATCAGAGCCCCCAAGATCTGGAAGATGAAGTACATGATGGCGGCGACTGCGTTGATACCACCAGAAAGAGCCATAGCAAAGGTTAATCCGGGATTGAACAGGCCTCCACTGCTCATCAGCAAGAGATGGAGAGAGAATGAGAGAGAGAGAGAGAGAGAGAGAGAGAGAGAGAGAGAGAGAGAGAGAGGGAGAGAGAGAGAGAGAGAGAGAGAGAAAGAGAGGGAATATAAAATAGAGAAAGAAGGGGGACAGAGAGAAGAAGAGAAAGAAAAGACAAGATGGATCGAGAGAAGAAAGGGAGGGACATAGAGAGAGAAAGTATAAGATAAGAGAAAGATAGGGGAACAGAGAGAGAGAGAGAGAGAGGGAGAGAGAGAAAGGGGGGGGGGCGGAGGGAGAGGGAGAAGGAGGGGAGGATTAGTAACACGTTAATTTTTTTATGTCTGCTTCTAAATCCAGCATGACGTGATCAAAAAAAAATAGTAATTGCTAAATGAATTCATAATGTCACCAACGACTAAAATGCATTTTACTCCGATTTCTGACATAATTCATCTAAAAAATACAATCACTATATCATAACATTTAATATGATTGTCGACTTGAAATATTCTTGAAATATCATTTTCTCAAACATCGGTGGCTGTAGTCTTTCTCGTTTAAATAATTAGAAATACGAAATAGTATAACTTCACGACTCTTCAAAATAGAAAAGATATGAGGGCTATTATCAAGATTCTAGCAATGAATCATTAATTTGTATTACATTTTGTCTGTTATAAATGTTGTGCAGTCTGAATTGCTTTAACGGCTTGGGTCGATGATAAAGATCAAACTTGAAGATTAAGTAAACACGATTTGCCATAAACCGAGCAAACTGCATGCATGTTTGGCGGTTTAGTCATCCACGAATAGCATTATGGGATTGGGAATTATGAGACCATGGTAATGGAGAAGTATTACGTCATTTGATGATTAACTTTGACAAACATTTAAAAAAAACATTAAAAGTTGGATAACAATGAGTACGATCAAGATAATAGTGTGATATGAGGGAAGTAAATCAGTATATCAAATTTCATCTTTTAAACAATCATTTCATGATGCTACAGTAACCCGTCATTAGTGCTGGGAGGGTAAATTTATAAAAAGAAAACTTTAAAATGACGCTAAAAAACAAACGATTTGTCATAAACGAAAGAATCTTTGTGTTATGGTTTTGAAATGACTGAAATCTAAAGAGTACTAAACAATGTAATTCAAGTTGGGAGGTAAAGTATCATATTGGTTTCACACTAAGTTTATCATTTTCATCATAGTTATTTCTGTTCATAATCATATTCTCGTTTGTCATTATTGTCACTGTTTACATCGTTGTCTAGCGTGATTCAATAATGTCAGCAGGATATATTATTCATAATATTTCATCAATGAATATTACATGTGTCTCTGCTGTCAAAAAGAAGTCATAATATGAAAATTATAATCTAAATCCTAAAATTAATGAAAGAAATAATGTCTAAAACAGATATAAAATATGTATGTACTATGTAAATATATACTTTTCTCCATACCTTGTGAATACAGACTCGACACAATACTCCTCTAAGCGTAATATCTACTTTTTACTTCTTGTTTCTTAGTTAGAACCCCGTGTGTTTCCTGAACGATAATATTAAAAAACACATTGTCTGGAGAATGACAGTTGTCATTAAAAGTAGGCAGCCCTGTGATTCTGAATAATTCTATTTGGAAATAAAATATAAAGGAAAGAATACCATGTTTAATATATCCATAAAGTATTTTTTGAAGTGTGATCATGTCTTAACTTGACCATAACTATATACATCTTCGTTGATAAAAGACCGCATTTCTCAGTATCTCCTAATATAATTTTCTAAGACATATACTTTTAGAAGAGGCTATGAAAAGATATTATTAAGCTGACTATGATACGTTGTTGGTTTCTTAAATTCTTAGTAGTAAAATGGAAATGCATTTACACGATTGTGACAGACGTGGCGCAATACAAAATATGTTCACTATTTTTATAATCAAAATTGTAACGCAGTGGACAAAAAAGTGCAGAAGTTTCATAAATCTGAGAGGGAAAGAAAGGCGGAGACAGAAAAACGCACTACAAAAAAGAGAGGACCAAGAAATCCCGCGCTTTGAACCGACAATCAAAACTTATTAAATATTTTGGAACATTCCCCTATGTTCGCCGTCACGGTGCTAACTCTCGCATTGTTTGTCAGTTTGTAAACTTTAATTTCGTTAAAATTAATGTGTTTTATCAATAAACGGCCAGATTGTTGGCAGGAAATTGGCAGGGAAACGTATACATTCACAGTAGCTCGTAAAACCAACTTTTCATGGAGGCAATAACTAATATTTAATATCATTACATAATCTGATGTGGGTACAAACTCATTTACTATGATGTATCGAGTCTATTCAATATCTACGTGATGATGTCTATATAGCATGTTGGTCGCCATTTTGAATCCGATGAGTTTTTAGTTTTTGCACACACCACAAAATGTTGTCATCTTTAAAAAGAGTAGAATAATATGCTGAATAAAATAAACAGAAAGATACTTGAATTGGCTAACATGAAGTGCTTGTATTTATTATCAGACATTGGTCTGTAGTACAAAAGTTGGGTCTTTCTAATAATGGTTATAACGGAAATGAAAGGTTATATTACGCTTCTATATAATAATTGGGATGGGGCCTAATAAAATTCGAAGCCTTGCGAAGGGATTACAAAATATCAATTAAAATGGCGTTGCTCGAAAAGAATGTGTTGATGAATCGTGATAGTAAAGCTTATATAACATAATGTATAATAAAAATAACATTACAATTAAATCTATTATATCAATACACATGTATTTATGGCATATTCGTAATAACAAGTTTATAATTGAACTATTCACCTGATGTTCAAGAAAGCTGAACAGAGGAAGGCAATTCCCAGCCCTTCTGCAAGTGCAATCGAGGTAACATCCATGGTCGTTACTGCCATACATGCGATGAAGGTATATACCATGGTTCCAATGAACTCAGCGAAAGTCGACTGAATGAACTTCTCAAAGACCGATGTCGCCTTCGACAGCTCGACGATGTCGCTGGCATCGATCGAAATTTTGTCGTCTTTTCTGCGCGCCATTTTTGTTATATTTCCACCTGAAATGTATCACTATATATGTTCCAAATAGGAGGTTCAGGTAGCAGCACCAAAGTCACCAATTTATCTTAGTGTATTCACCAACAGGTATAATTCGCTTGTCTCAGGTATTACTCCCAAGATATGCGACGCGTGAAGACAAAAATGGCGGTAAAGTAAACCTTACAAAAACGAGCAAGTTGTCTTGCAGATGTTATAACGGCAACACCCTGGTATTTTGCACGGACGCACACACATCCGTGGTACTCCAATAAACAAGCGGGTTATTGCTGAGGAAGACGCGATGCTATTGGCTAGTTCTGAAGCCATTTGTTTGAAGAGTTGCAAAAGCAAAGTATGCATATTATTAATCATTAACTCAAGATGTTGTTTGTGGAATGTTTGGTGTATGAGTCTCTGTGTTGGAATTATCAGACGAATATAATTGAACTTCACCTCTCCCTAGCACTTGAAATGTTTTCTGTTTGTTTGATATGCCTTCTTTTTTAATGTTGAATCGTGCGTGTAATCAACTTTTTTTTTCATTCTCCTTTTTCGGTCTCATGGGCTTCTTTTTGTGTGTATTGATTTGGTTTATTAAAAAAACATGACGTGCAGCTCAGTGCTGACATTGAATGTTTTACAAAGTAATCAGATATTTACAATGCGTGTATAATACCATCATCAAAATACAAAAGCAATATAACAGTAAAAATGATAACATAACACAGCATTATTATTACACAAATAATACACATCAGTGAGGGCATTAGTAAGAATTACCCACGCATTGGACTGTTTCGAAGGTACTGAGTGTGGGTAATATTATTAATGCCGGAACAAAATGATGTGTATTATTTGTTTTATAAGATGATGTTTTATATGTTTATAAATTGATATTTTATAGCATGATTTTACTAATGACCGGTCAATAGTAAAACTACGTGTTAGGCAATGCCTGGTCACGTGTACGCTCTCAACCAGGATCGGCCTTAATTATCATCTTATAAAAGAAGATAATTCCTACCGACGGTCCACTGGAAAACGACAAAGAAATATCTCGCCTGATAATTATATTGCTTTGTTTTATCGGTCTATAGCAGGCTGTCAGTCTCATGGGCGTTCGGTTTCGTGAACCCTTTAGAACTTTGTCCTTGTCGTTAGTATTTTTTTTTGTCGGCCTCGATCGCGGGCTGTCGGTTATTTCATCGGGAATTGAAAGTTTGTCTCCTTGTTACATCAAAACAATTATCTTATCGACCATTAAAATTAAGAAGATGCGAAGGGGCAGCGACATCGATTTGTGAAGGGATCGCGTTGGTTTGGAATTATCGGATATTTTTATGTATTTGAAAGAAGGAGTATGAATGATATAAAGACTCCATCATTCCAGTATTTGGAAATATTCGTTTTGTTATCAGTGTCCAACGTTCATTCAACAGTGAGTCAGAAAATTGAGGGATTAAACATTAACAGACGAATCGCGTACCAGGAGTCTATGGTCACAGTTTCTGTGGAACCAAACACAGTTAGTTAACGATTAACTTCTTCTATTTGTTTGCATAATATTTTGAAGAGCATCGTATGAGTTCATCATGTCTGCTCATACTACTCCGGACCAGACATTGTACGAATTATGGTTGGCGCATATTGTTTACTCAATGAGGTCATTAAAGAAAGAAAATGGTATTTAAAGTTCGATTTTGAAAAAAAAAGTGTTTTTGAGGGTACGTAAATTATCAGGTCATCACTAGAGTGATTATTATAAACTTTTCTTTGCAGTTCATTTCATCACTATCAGGTGATCTACACTTGGAACATGGTATAGATTTTGTTAGGCTATTATTAAGTGATACCGTACTATGAGCCCCTATAATTTAAAGCTTGGATCAATTTTGATGCACAGGCGCGTACGCAGGGAGGGGGGGGGGGGGGGGGCTTTTAGGGTTGAACCCCCCCTTTGGTATTTTTTTATTTTTTATTTTTTAATAAAAAATATAATAATAATAAAAAATTATACCAATGGCTGACCTAAAAAAGTTGACCTTACCCCCCCCCCCCCCAACGGAGCAAAATGTCAAATGTCAAATTTGGAGACCAAATAAAAAAAAAAAAAAGTGTCCCCCCCCCCCCCCCCCCCCCCCCCCCCCCCCCCCCCCCCCCCCCCCCCCGCTTATTCAGCGGCTGGCTGAGTCGTTGCGATTCTGTTGATACATATACATATTTGACATTATTTTGTCATTAACATAGGTTACACTAGACCGCCAACCAACTAATATTTAAGAAAAAAGTGCTATAATTTATTCTCGTTTGAAGATAAGACAACAAAGATTTAAAAGACAATTATCTTATTCATAAAGAAAACACAAGTTTTTGGAAGATGTCCTGTTTGAAGGGGAAATAACAACATTTTCAGGATTTCTCAATCCTCCCTCTCTCTCACACATGGTGCTCCCGCAAGCCTACTGTATAATAAAAAAAAAGATTTAAAGATAACTATTTTATTCAGGTGAAAAATGCAAAAGATATTGGCAGCGGTGGGATTCGAACCCACGCCATCGAAATGACTGGTGCCTTAAACCAGCGCCTTAGACCGCTCGGCCACGCTACCTTGATGTACATCGAGTTACTTTAAACTTTATATTGTGTGCAAAAAGTTATAACTGCATGCATGTGTGTGTGTGTAGGTATCGCAGTCGCTACAATTATTACAGTGTAGTCCCATATACCAACTGGGCGGTTGGCTAGTTTTTATGTAGATTTGTATGCTAGTTACAAAACTGAGGAATTTGGATGATATTTGGTCACAACAACAACACAGATATTAAGCATTTATCGTGAATTCAATTCTGTTCATTTCTTTCCAAGTGACGAGCATCATGATTAGACGTGCTAGCTGCATTCTTTGGCGTCAAAGGAACTTCTGCACCACCCAAAATCGGCTAAACGTGGGACAATTCCAGAGCAATTATAGTTTGAACAAATTATATCCACACAGTGAGCAAGACATCACAATTTCATGTAGAAAATCACATGAGGTAAGACCGACAGCTTCTAGTTCTAGCTTTTGAAAACAAAGTGTATGTACATGATATACGTAGAATAGGGTCCCCCATCATACATATTTTAGTTTATTTTCCTAACATTTTTTGTGCAGTGGATTTCATTTGAATTATGGATCATTGGATGTTAAAGTTAAAATTAAAAAAAAGAAGATTTTGTTCACATTTGATATTGAGTTGTCACGCTCATGCAGTCATAGACTAGACCTCTATGAGATATTTAGGCTACAGATGTTTCATTGTAAATATAAAATAATCTTCTTACATAATTTGTGTTTTACATAATAAATGCATTTAGATCTAGACTAATTGAAGAGTGGCAAACTGAAAATCCATAATTTGCTAATACTAAATTGGTAATAGATGATAGATCTGTGACTTTTTATAATTGCATTCTTCATTCTAATTTTTTATTCAGACTGCAGATCAGAACATCGAGTCAAAGTTCAGTGGACAAATTCCAGTTGGTAAGTAGAGTCTACTGTATGTGCATATAAAGTGCTAGACCGAATTTTCTGTCTCTTTCGTTCGTTAACCTCTGATTTGGGTTGGGTCGGCTCCTCTCTTAACGAGAGGAGCCGACCCTACCCAAATCAGTGGCTAACGAACGAAAGAGACAGAAAATTTGGTCTAATGAAGCGCATGTGCGTGTGCAACTGCAAGACTGAAACCTCTGAATCTATGTTTTGCAGGTTGGGCGTCTTTTAACCCATAGCCTGGGGGGTTGTGAGTTTCACTCGCAACTCCCTGCATGGAAACCAAGTGGTCCCTGTTTTAAATATGCTTATGACTTAATTGTAGTTGTATGAGTATGAGAATAACAACATTCGCATGTCAATTTTTTAATCTTCCTTATCCCTTTCAAGACAGTATTTATGTTGGGCTAAAATGATCACATTATATTGTTCTTTGAATTGGCACCAATTATCATTTAAAATGTAGTTCCTCTGAAAACAATATACATGTACATGAATGGGCATGTTGTCAAAAAGTTGAGTGGAAAAAAAAAAAAGAGCAAATTTTGATAAAAAACAGTGATTGTGAATCTCTCAATGTGTCAACGAAAAAATGAGGTTTGCTGGTTTGTTCAAGATGGAGGAATGTAATATGTATATGTAGTACACACTTAGTCTCAAATCTGTTCAAGTTATCATGATGTTATGTTTTATGTTTTATTTTTGTTGTCTTTGTTACTTCTTTCAGATAAATTGCTAGTCAAGTACAGCAGGAGTGGTGGAGCAGGGGGTCAAAATGTACAGAAAGGTAATGAGTCAACTCCCTTGGACAACTTTGTCTCTCAACTTTGAAAATTAAGCTAAACAGTGCTTTACACAAGTAATCCATGTTTTAAAAATGAAAAATAACGCTAAGTTGCTAACCATGTTCTGTGGCAAAGATACTTGCCTATTATTTACTATTGCTATAAATTTACTATTAAACTATTTTTTGGAGTTATCTTTCAATGGAACAAAATGTAAAAAGTACTGGAAATCTTGGGAAAGGTTAGAGCGTTTACTCCAGAAAAGAATGATCGATGATAAAGTGATGATACTTTGAAACTACTTATAGTTAATTTTCTTCAAAGTGAGCCCTTAATTTTTCCTTCATACATGTAGATTGAATTATATTTTTTATTAAAAGTGTTTCATCATAAATTTTACTTTTGTCACTTATGGAACAGAATAATGAAGGAAAAGGGCTTTGTGGTGGGATTGAAAATATTCTCTTTTGGATATTGTATCAGTTGCTGTCATTGCATTTTATGTTAGTTGATGATGTTTGAATTCTTTCTATAACAAAAGAGCTGTATCAATTCACCATTAGTTTCTGATTAGTTAAAAAAAATGAAGATTTATCAAATATAAATTAAATTAATTTGAGACAGTTATCCCAAAGTTTAGTCCAGTAAAGTCAAACTACATGTATCATGATAAAGGATATTGAAATGATATTAAGCATCTTTGTTTGATTTAGTTTTATGGGTCTGCATGACATAGTCCCATGGCTATACATGTAAATCTAAATGACTAAGAAAGATTTCTATATAGTGATTAATGCATGCTCTCTTCCTTTTTTACATAGTGGAAACGAAGGTGGATGTCCGGTTTCTTGTTGCTACAGCAGAATGGCTGCCTCAGAATGTGAGAGAAAAATTGCAAATTCAGGTAAATGGTCTCCAAGAATAATTTATTACTAGATCATTGGAATGAGATGCATTAAGTACACTTGTAGATTGATGACTTGGTGAATACACAGTTTTACAGGCTGTCTTGCATTTTCAATTTGAATTTCAAAGTTTAAAAAAAAAAAAAAAAAAATTATTGAAAATGAAGCCCAACAACAAGTTATGTGCCTGTAGATAATCTCTGGGAATGTCTACCTCTTTCTCATTGGAAATGTATTGCTGATGTGGGGTATAACAAAAAAATAATCTGCTTTTCTCTGGCTGTTTGATAATCTACCTTTGCCTAAGTGATCTTGGGGGCTATAGGGGCAAAAATGCCAGAGGTATAAATTATTATCTCAGGCATTTTTCCTCAGACATTTTTACCTGAACCTAACTTTCAGAGCTTATTTTGTTTTTAATTTTCTATAATACAGCAAAAAAATAAAATCAACAGCAGAGGAGAGATGGTGATCGTGTCGGAGCGAACGAGATCACAGATCAGGAACTTCAGCGACTGTCTACAAAAGATCCGAGATATGGTAGCGGAGGCAGAGCGGAAACCTAAAGAGCCCAGCGAAAAGGACAAGGCTGTCAGGAGAATAAGGTAAGATTGCATTGCAATATACCAGAATGTTTTAGTTGAGTTTTCAGTTACAGATCTATTGAAGTTTGAAGGTAAATTTATCTATTCAATATATAATTACAGGAAACGAGGTCTGTTTAATAATATAATTACAAATCTGTAAGTATAATCTTCATTTTTGGAGGATGGGGTTAATTGTGTAATATTCCACCCATTCACACTTTGTTAAAACAGAAATTATGAGCAGGAATTCTCTACAGATATCTTTCAAGGAGAGTATGAAGAGACTTGTTATTATTCAGATCGTTTTATATTTTCATGATGATGGTTTTAATTTAACATTTTACTTTTTTTGTTTAATACTGACTTGATGAATAAAATAGTTACAAATGCCTCAGTCAATACATTATTTGAACTTTTGAACTTATTGGCCATGGCATTCTAACAGTGTACATTCACCCAAGTTCAGAAGAGGTCATAGTAATCTATCAGGAGATTTTCTGACATACATAGTCAATATCAAACATTCTTGTATGGTAGGTTTCATTTAGTGTTGTAGAATTCATCTATTGTTTCTCCTTGGCATGTCAAACAAACATAGTTAATATCCAATTTTCTCCTTGATAATTGACTATGATTGACAGGTTAGTATAATAGACAAATCAAACTAGTCTTGTGAAGACAGGTTATTGCTAAAATAAAACAATACTTTGCTGGTGTTAAATTTGGGTAATTACAGAAAGTATCTGTTGTAGAAGACTAGATTTAAATTATGGTTTGAGAATTTATGTGAGTTGGAGAAAAGTATGGCTGTTTTCTTCAAGCTGCTTCCTCTGCTGAAATGAACTATGATTGTGTAGACTAATTAAGAGTCTTGGACAGGCTTTTTTTGCTAAATTAATTCAGGACTTGCAAATGAGTATGTAATTGTAGTAAGTGCCTGTAGTGGTAGGCTACTAATTAAATTGTTGCATGAAAATGTATGACACTGGCAGCAAAGTTCAAAATAACTTGTCATGAACCATGATTGACTATGAAATATTAAACAAACAAAGCTTAAGAAAATGAAAATTCAATATGGATCTCAGATTTTACCTTAACCTTAATTTGCTGCCTTTGAATGGCAATAATTATTGTTGCAATACAATTTGTTATTTTCACATTTACCTTTTTCTGAATTTTCCAGAGACCTTCTTATATTCAACTTTAATTGAAGGGGCATGTCAGAGGTTTGCTCTGTATTTCAAAACAATATATTTCTTGCTACATCAATACTCAACCTTTTCTCCGCAAATCTTGTACAATTTTTACACCAAGTTTGTGAAAATCTGATGTATTTCTATTCTGAAAAACAGAGTTGATACTTCCTTGGGACGAAAAGATACATACATGTGCAATAAATCTCATCATAAGTTTAAATCTGATAGAAGTTATTTGGAGTTTCCTCTCTATTCTCTTCCTATCATTTTAGGGTGGAATCTGCAAACAGAGAGCGATTAAGAGGGAAGAAGGCGCACTCGGCTACCAAGCATGAAAGACAGGTCTCCTTCGATGATTGAATGACATATGAGAACAGTTCATGGAAAACCCATTGAATCAATCATCACTGTAGGAGGGACTTTCAGACAAAACATGTTTTCATGCACTGAAGTTAGCTTGGAATATATTTGTTTTGTATGAGAGATGGATTTCTCAAGATGTCTGAGCAGCAAGGATCGTACGAGCAAGAAAAAACTCTGGATGACAACACACGATGCCAGGTCCCCAAAGTCAATTGTTATGAAATTTCATTTCAAAAACTTGTTTCTGATTCTAATCTTGGAGGGGGAGGTTGGTTGCGAGGGCTTAAGGTTGATAATAAAGATGAAAAATAATAATTTCTAGGGAGATTGTATGTACTATTTACAGACATCATTAAAACTAACTGAATTATTTGACTTGTCTTTGGTATGTTTTTGATGGATTTTATTATTCATATACTTCCACTGTACATGTATTCACTTGTCAGAGTCTTGACTGATTACTGAGCATTTTACAGGAAAGGAGAGGGAGAAAGAGAGATGAAAGGAGGAGAAAGAGAATGAGAGAGAGAGAGAGAGAAGAAAGGTGGAGGAGAGTGAGAGAAGAGAGGAAGAAGAGGGTGGAAAAGGGAAAGAGAGACAGAAAGGGGGGGGGGGGAGTGCGAGAGAAGAGAGAGAGAGAGAGAGGAAGGAATGGGTGGCGGAGAAGGTGAAAGAGAATAGAGGGATGGAAGGAGAGAGAGGGGCAGAGAGAGGATAGACAGAGATAGAGAAAAAGAGACTGAAAGAGGAAGGAGTTAAGAGAGAGAGAGAGAGAGAGAGAGAGAGAGAGAGAAGGCAGACAGGGAGGGTTGGGGGATGATGGAGAGAGACATCAGGGAGGGGTAAAACAGTTTGAAATGATGCAGCCTTTGCCCTTCATCAACACATGCTTCACTTTGTTCAGAATCTCCAGCACTTCATTACTCATTTATAATGCTCTTTAAGTGAATTATATGTAAATATTCTACAGCTCAGTTTCTTTCTCATTTCATGATATGACATAAATGTTGAGGGAGGGCAAAGTACGTGTTTATTTGCTTTCATTTGGCAGAAGCAAAGATATGGCATACATGAAACTTCCGACGAGAATGAACTAAAAACATAATACAAGTAGAAATTTTGCATGATATTCAAATTTAATTTTTACAATCTCTGTTTCCTAGCATAGAACATTTTAATGAATACAATAAATAGAATATATATATTTTTTACACTGGAATGCCTAAAAGTAACTGTAGAGAAGCAATTATACAATGCCATGGAAACTGGTGACAATCCAATCATTCCAACTCGGGGGTTGTTTACTTGAGTTAAAAAAAAAAAAATATTTTCATGAAATTCATTGTAGCTAGCCCTGTACCCCTCCCCCGCCCCCCCCCCCCAAAAAAAAACAACCTACCCCAAGGCCCAGGTGTTCAAGAAACACCAACAGCGATATTTGGCACAGATATGTTTCCTCTGATGTGCTTTTTGCAGATCAGTATTATTTTATACATAGTTTTTGAAGAAAAAAAATCGGGACTCAAACATCACTGCACCTGTCACCAGCACCCTCACTAGTAAGAATTGTGTGGGATTCTACACATGACATGACTTTCAATAATTACACAAGGGTGATGATCTCAGAAATGTTAAAGCTTGTTTTATACACACATATAGTTATTAAATAAGATATATGGTTTTCCTTGTTCAAAGGACACTTCAGTAATGAATTGATAGGTTACATCGGCCTCGCCAAAGAGCAATTCAGTCAAAATGAATAAATAAACGATACAAAATGCTTTCTCAGCAAATAATATACAAATGTGCATGCGAATGAGTACATTAGACAATATATCGGCACTGGAGTTGTTGCATTATGCATCTATCAACAGGTGCATAAACATCGTCAACAAGAGCAGATAGATCCTGTAATAAACAGAAGAAAACGTGCATCCTTTGTTTTATACAGCAAAACTCCTAGATCCTTGTTACTGGTTTAAAAATAATTCATGTCAACATTTTTTCATGTCATCGCTAACAAATAAATTCCAAGTTTAATAGGCTTACTTTAGATAAGCTCGCTTAAATACTTCTACAGTCTACACACGTAATAGGTAGTGCTATGTATGTCTCAGTAAATGAATCACACGTGACCACGTTTGACCACTTTGACCAATTGATAAGAAACTAGGAGTGAGTTGTATAAAATGTATTCCAATCTTTTAGTCTTTATAATGTAATTCTGAAACTAAGAATGTTTATACCGTACATGTATTTAAAGACTAAGGAATGAAAATGTGTGCCCATACACTGTATTTGAAAAGAAACTGGATCAATGCAATTTCCTGGTGTATTCATGTCCTAAACTTAGAGCGGCACATAAACAAGATAGAATGAGAGCTCTATGATCAGCCTTTTCAGTACCAAAAATGATTAACCCCACCTACATTTTCTCTTCAGAAATGTACAAGTTTGTCTTTCTTCTTGAAATTAATAATGGCATTATGGATCATGAAGTTCAGAATGATCGACTGAAAATGGAGAACCCAAAACATAATGCCTCTGGCACTATCTTTGGTGTGCAGAGGCCTAAAGCGGCCTTAACCCAATCGTACAATATATGAAGAGAAACAGTTCATATGATAACCTTTATTAAGCACTGTCTCAATGTGCATTGCTTTTAGATTATACTTTAATACAAGATGAAATGAACTTCTCTTTATTTGTTAGTACTGAACACACACTATTTAGAAAAGAAGAACCTAAATTATTCAGTGTCATCTGACATCATTGCTGTCTCTATGTGCGTAATTTCTAACTTTTCTCTTGGGAGGCTGCAGCTGAGGTTGTACCTTGCCTGCCACCATGGCCGATAACTCTGGTTTGGTTGAGGGTTTTGAACCTCTGACCTTGTAGTGGGTGCTATGGCCAGCAACCTCTAGGCCTCCTGTGCTGTGGTGCTGGCGGGCATGAATGCTGGATGGGATGGAGTGGTGTGGCTCCTCGGGTATAGGGGAGTGGTCTGTGAATAATGCAGATACAATGTGATTACAAAACCATTCAAAATTGAATTAAGACAGACTACTCTGAAAGAACATCAATAAGAATCAGCAAAATATTGGGCTACATAACTATTCATTGACAATCCATTAAAATAGATGAGAGGTGACCATCCTCCAAAAAAGTTTTACGCAGTACATGTTTGCATAAATGGACAATGAAACAAGAAGGGTTTGGCCAAGAAAATTCTTTATCACGTTAGTATACTTCAACTATACTATATGCAAGTCTTGTTCTGATCAGTGCTTTTAATAATGTTATTTACAAAATGGTCCTTGTATCAAACGCATTACTGTTCTGGCATTCTAAAATGCCACTGTTTCCGAATCCACAACTTGCCTTTAAAAAGTGAATTCTGTTTAGTAGTTCTGTGGCCTTTTTTAAAAGGTGTGAACAAAATCTTTACTTTGCAATCAAGGTATTGTTAGGGTCTTACCTGGCTTGCGCATTGGAGAGGGTGACCTGAAGAATAGTGGGCTGGCGCCATCATCCAGAAGACGCCACACATCTTGCATAGACTCCTCCCCTAGTGATGACATCATTAGTGGTGTGTGCCTCTGATTGGCTGAGGAATCACTGCTGGGGGCCTCCCCCTCAGAGCTGTGTGAGTGCCGCAGTATTTGTGGAGGGGGATTACCTATGAAAAGAAAAGTAAAAAACTTGATGACATCTGTTAATTCTCTACTAATTGGTTTCTAGACTTAGTTACGGAATCCTCTTTTTTGTCTTTTACAAGTGGTTGCTTTAAATTGGGTCAAAAAAAAAGAAGAAATAGAAGAGTAATGCAACAAGAAAAAAATGAAAGTACTATGTCTGTTTTGTAAAGAAAGTGAGGCTCAATGTGAATTGCCGTTCGTTCTACAATCACTTCATATACTACCTAATTTATCTATTTCCATATGGTCTACTCCCACCTTGTCTATTATTTACATGGTTTAATGGTCTAATAAGTGAATAATTGTGTTTGTGTCCGAGATACAAAGTTTTGCATTGCAAAATCTATCACAGGTTTATCTACTTAATTCACCTTGAGTTACTAAGTTTAAATTAAAGTAATTTCTAATACATCATACCATACCTTGTGAATGGTTGCTTTGAAGAGGTTGTGTGTATTCAGCATGTGCAGCTATCCTAGGTGTGATCTCTGGTGTTGAATCCGATGATGAGCTTAGCTGTACCTGGACGACATCGGCCACCCCTTCATTGTGACCTCTTCCTCTGGCAAACTGCAATTCCTACAGCAGGAAAAATATATATCAAAGGACATACTTAAAGTGTAATTCCATTGTGTGCGGGCAAGCACTGAATCCAATGACCGGGGTAATAGTATATTTGTAAAGCGCTTAGAGACATTTGTATTAAGCGCTATATAAAAATTAAATATTATTATTATCATTAATTTTCATGATTTTCTTATCCTGCACCTGTCACAAGCACATATTCTTATTTATTACAAATTCATTTGGCAAGATCAAATCAATATTTATCAAAAACCACACGCTTGTATTACAGACAATCCTAGTACATGTATTTGTTATTAGATGATTTTATTTAAAGCCTGTCTGCACTAGTTTGGCCAGGAAGGATTAGACCACCTAGCATGGTCACTGACAGGTGGTTATCTCATCAACTTGGCTCTCAATTAACATAAGAAAAAGAGGATCATGGGGGACCCACGGGAACAGCTTAGGCATTGTTTGCTATATAGAGGGAAAAAGTAGCTACAAAGTAGTGCAGTGGGGCTTTAATCAAAAGAGATCCCAATTTTGACATACCGGTAGTCACACAGAATACTACTTATAACAAAGATTATCCAGCCCCATTGAAATAATACCATGTATTGTGTAACAATTACTTTGAAAATTAAATTAAAGTTAACAAAATGAGTGGAGTTCATTAGAAAACAATTGATCTCCCTGCATAAATGTTCCAATATAATTGTGAATGTAACATACATTATACTTTATATTATGCTAATTACACTCCAAAAGCTGCCAATATGAAACATTACAAAGATTCATGATCTTACCTGCTTTGTGAGGACGTACTGGAGTTTCTCCAAGTTTTGAAGCTTGGAAGAGACCTGCTCTGCCAGCTTCCCTGCAGTCATGCTCCTCTCTCCTGCAGCTGACCTTTGACCTCTTGTGGGCTGGGGAGCAGGTGAAGGTCGGTAGAGGGCAAGCTCTGATCGTAGTCCATTCCCCAGCTCCATGAGCTTCTGTTTCTCCTTGGCTAGCCGACTGATGTGACGTACTGCCGTCTTGAGTTTGGCTTGCAGCTGAAAGGTGAAGAAGAATCATGTAAGTATACTGCATTGATTGAAAGTATTCCAAGGAATAAACAATAGATAGATCATCAATGAAATGATGAACAAAAGCAATTACAGAAAACTTTGCACAAGTTGAATCTGATAATACTGCAAAATAGTTTGACTTATGTCAGAATTCGACCTAGGAAGTGAAAATAACACGTTTAGCATATTTTGGTAAAAAAATAAAATTGATTCAATTTGGGGAAATCTGACTAATATCTGTATAGAAATTGATTTCAGGAGGACAATACTAAATTTGTTATTTCTTTCTGTATAATTTTTTTATCTAATTCAGTGGCGGATCCAGGAATTTCTTACCGGGGGGGGGGGGGGGGGGGGGGGGCACAAAATGGCATGGGGTGAAATCAGTAGCGTATGCATGATTTTTTCAAGGGAGGGGGGTGGGGGGTTTTAACATTTTAAAATCGGTCATAATTTGAAAATCGCGTCGGCCGCAAATTCGCTCAGTGGGGGGGGGGGGGGGGGGACGGGGGACGTGCCCCCCTAGATCCGCCCCTGAAATTATCATTTTTGTCAACTACATGTACATCTCACTTTCCTCTCCTCCTTCTCATTTTTAATGATTTTCTTCTTTGTTTCCAATCCAGCAGTCTTTTAAAGTTGTTTCTTCATCCTTTGAAAATGTACAGCGCTTCCCCCTCTTTCATTTTCCTCTTCGTCTTCATCAATAACATGTAGAACCCCCCTCCCCCCCATGAAACTTCATTAGGTTTGATATGCTTACTCCATTAATGTCCGTGTTCTCATCATCTCCGGGATGAGATTTGACTCTGGCCAATTGCGCCCTCAGGTTATGCACCTCTCTCTGAAGCTGTGTCACTAAACCACTCTGACAAAATGACAATTATAGAACATGTAGTAACAACAAACTTGAAAACATGTGAAAGATATGGAATTTTATAGGTTTGATGTGATTTGGGAGAAATATTTGTTACGGTAAATGCATGAAATGATATTCAGATTGCTGAGCTTCTTAGAAGATGAAAATTGAAATGTAATCAGTTATAGACATTGTTTGGTACTATGTATTAGCCTAACAAACTTGCAATTTGATAGATAGCGCAGAGAGAAGACATGTTATGAGAAAATGAGAAGGATGAGGAGGAAAAAAGAAAACAAGAAGAAGAGTGAGAAGAAGAAGAAAGGGTAGAAGGAGAAGGAGAAGAAGAAGAATCCAATGAATCTAAAACCCATTCAAAAGAAATGAAACAAGTTTCAATGTTGACGGTTGATAAAGAGTTAACTTTTAGTCTGTAGTAATTAACTAACCTGAATCCCATGCCTGCTTTTTGAACCTCGACCAGCAAGATCCATAGTCAGTGCAGAAACCTGGCATGAAATAATTGAATATAATTAATAATCAAACACGTCGTCACACACTGAAACAAAAAACATTCTTATAAAAGTACAGTGTATCAACAAGTTAGTGCATTCTGATGTTTCCACTAGTGAGCAGAAGAATGATAATGTAATATACAGAAGAGTGTTAAACCTGACAAGAGATACCAGTCAGAATTTTGTAAATAACTATATTAATAATTATATTAATAATAAAACCAATTATGATGATATCAGTGATTTATGGTAATGGTGATAATAATGATCACTATACAAATTATGATGAAGTTGATTATGAGGAAGATTGGTTGTGATAATAAGTTCATGAAAGCAATGGTGATTATGTATGTGTCAATGATAAAGATAAAAACAATGGTTATGATGATGAAAATGACAATGAAAATTGGTAATGATAAGGATGATGACAATGACAATTGGTAATGATGATGATGATGATAATGAAGATGGTAATGATGATGGTAATGACAACCATTAATGAATAATGATAATGTACACTGACCTGTTGCCCCAGGGTGGTTGCCTCAAGGTTGGTTTGTAAGGTGCCCTTGTAATACTCGTCTGCTTCCCTCCTAGCCTCCATCAGCTCCAGCTCTAGCTGACTCATTCTCTGGGTATAGGAAGCAGACTCAGCAGCATGGCGTCTGGCTTGGGTAGAGAGCTCATACCTTAGCTGATCAACTTCTGCCTGTTTCTCTCTTGGCTGTACAAGAAAGAAAGGAGGAGGCATAGAAAAGAAGAAGGAGAAGAAGAGGAAAAAGGAGGAGGAGGCTCAGAAGAGAAGAAGATGAAGGAGGATGAAGAAGGAGGAGGATGAAGAGGAGGAGAAGAAGAAGAAGAAGATGAGGAAGAAGAAAAAGGAGGAGAAGAAGAAGGAGAAAGAGAAAAAAAAAAATCAAAATTCTTCAATACTACCACTATTTATACCATATCTATATTTATCTACACTAACACTCTTTGTGAGTATACAACTCACAGGGGACTGCAGAAGAGACTCAATTGAAGGACTCAATTGAATATATATGTAAATTCAATACATCAATGAAAAATCTCAATCTGGCTCAGCACTGCGATCCCTCCCACCCCCCCCCCCCCCCCCCCCAAAAAAAAAAAAAAAAAAAAAAAAAAAAAAAAAGTGAACATAATTCCATGATATGCTGAGCTTACCTGGTATTGTTTCTGGTTTATTTCAGTTTCTAAATGACTCAGTCTAGCCTGATACTTCCTCAACTCTGCTGATGTTGTTACCTTATCTGCTCTAAGGGCACCTACAAAAGAGATCACAAATAAAGACAATTGTAAAGTTTTTTTCTTTAATACCCTTTACACTTTTGAGACAGTCATTCCACATTTTTCGGTTTGGCTTAATAATTGTTGATTTAGATCCATAAAAAAAATACTGGATAATTGAGGAGAAGGGGCAAACATTTCTAGACCCAATGTGTCCATTTTGTTGTATGACTATATTGTGTTTGATGGCAGGAATTTTAAGAAGGATAATAAGATTTAAAATCCTTAAATTGGCAAAATGCTAAGATATTTAAAATCAATGTTTTTCTATCAGAATTGGCAATATTGCAACTCTTTGACAAAACTTTCTAATATCTAACCATGTACGAAGAAAAGGGATCTCTGTTTGCCAATATCCAAACCTAAATATCCATGCCAAACACCTCGTGGATGTGATGGATTGACTGACTATAACAGGTTACTCCTTGAACTGCTCTATAAAATCTTAAAACATAAACACAACAAGAACTTAAACAAATATTCTCCCAAGAAGTAGACAATTTTAAGTTATATCTCACCAATGGTGTCATTCAATGACTGGATATGACTTTTGATTGCATCATTTTGTGCCAGATCAATCTGAATCCCTTCTTGATGACCAGACGGATAAACCCCTCCATCTTGAATGGTTTGTGCCAGGGTGGATAGTCTTTCCTCCAGTCTCCTCTTTTCAACCTTGAGTTCCCTGCACTCTTTCTCTAGGGACTTGACATACTCTATGGTAGAAATGAAGACAACTCATTCTAAATGTTTTGTGATACAGTCAAACCTGTCTATAGCGACCACCCAATGGAAACACAAAAAGTGGCCTTTGTAGACAGGTGGTCTTTGTAGACAGGTTTCTTTAATACATGATTCAATGAGAAACCATTTGCAAGGGAAACAACAAATGTGGCCTTTGTAGACATGTGGTCACTAAAGCAGGTTTGACTGTAGTTGTTTTTGTAATATTGTATTACTTGTATAGATATGGTAATCTGTTTTAAATCAGGTGAAAAATGATCATTACTTTTTAGACATGTTATTTACTTCTATGGTAGAAATGAAGACAATTCATTCTCAACATTTTGTGATACGTAGTTGTATTTGTAATATTGTATTACATGTATAGATGGAAATCTGCTGATTTTAATTCAGGTAAAAATAATCATTACTCTTCAGACATGTTATTTACTTCTCTATTTAGCCTCATATAGTTTAAAAGGTCATAAACAAAGTACAAAGACTATCTTGGCTCCACATAGATCCATACTTGTGATACAAAAGTCTTATATACATATTTACATAGCATTACAATGGATTCCTAGATAACTAATAAATGTTGATTGGAACTAATATAGCATATGAATGTATTTCAAGCTAAACACTAATTAACATATCAATCTTCCGTACTGATAACAAATGATGTAATTCATCCAATCTGAAAAGCTTCATGTCATCCAACATCCTATAAGAACTGTGAAGCAAAGTCTATCAATGGATGAACTTTGGATATGAATACTGAATGTACAGTTGTATTGTAAACACATCATAAATCAATGGTGTGATTCATACAAGAGAAATGCTTTGAAAATATGTTGATGTGTTGTATCACACAGAATAATCTCCCCTCTCCCGATGAAAATGGGATATGCATTCTAATGAATTGATAGAAACAGAGTAGAGTTTAGAAAAATTCCAAATATACATATTTTGTATCAGGTTACAATCTCTTTCATTGAAGAAATATGTCTGTTAAAGATAAACTTTAGTACTGGTAATGCGATTGCATTGTGAAAGAAAAGGTGTGGAAAGGATCAGAAACAGTTGATCATGTAGCATGTAAGTATTGGTGTGCACTGCAAGGTTCTGGAGTCATTAAAATCATAATAAATTTGACCGAGTATTGGTAAAGTAACAAGCACTGTACACAGAAAGCTATATATGGGACAACACACATGGTGTCGGGGCTAGTACTACCTTGATTTCCTTGTCTTTCTATGCTCATTACTCAGCCAGTATACATTTTCTTCCAAAATTGTATGGCACATGTCATTTATTTGTAATCTTGAACATTCAGTGTAAGTTTCGTTTGATTCTGTGAGAATTCATTTTCTTTTTTTTACCAGAACTCAAGTTTATCTTTAATCTGTCTTGAAGCTAGGCCCAATCCATGCATTTGATTCAATATCGGTATTGATATCGCTATCGCTATGCTATTCAAATATGCTCAGAAAAAAATCAAACACTGTAACAGGAACAACATTACCTGCTATAGAGAATGAAATCAAACTCAAAACAATTCATTTGTGAACGTGAACAATGCAAATACGAGAGTCAAAATGAGAGATTGATATACCTCCAGTAAAGGGTTCTTGTTGCTCATCCTTCGTGCTTTCCCCTCTGGGTCCTCTTGGTATGATGTTCACTCCGTCTTTGTTCATTCCGTCCACATGGCTTTCCATCTCTTCCATCTCTCTCTTCATATCCCTGATGACTGCGATGAGAGATTCATTCTGGGCCTGAAGCTCCTCAGCCTGCCTGGACCCCAAGTGGGTTTCCTCCGTGCCAGTATCTCGACTCTGATTAAAAAAACAATAGACCATTTTAGTAACGTAATCAAATTTAATGCACAAATCCTTATTAAGTGCCCCATTACAAATCATGGCATTCACCTGTTTTGTATAATTGTCATTCAATACTAAGAATGCAAATAGCATACATAACGTGTTGTTAGATAGGACAAGCCATAATGTTTGTTCCACCTAGTAACAATTAACATGCAATTCACATTCTAACTATTGAAATACAATTATTTCTTAACTTAACAAAGATTTGTGCATTACATTTGAATTTATTAGGAAATGGTCTCGTGCATTTGTGTGTGTGTGTGTGTGTGTGTGTGTTGGGTTTTTACAGACGTGTATCAATCAGATATGATTATTTACGCCTGGGGACCGACCTTTAAACGTCACCATCCAAAAGACGTGACTCAGTTTCAAACCTGCGTCCTCGGCTGAATCAGTTTGTAACTTCATTGTTAGCTGGATTACAAGTGCATGCCACAACACCTAGTTGCATGGCCATTAATTTCTTGGAAGAGGGGGGGGGGGATGAATAATGGGGAGGGGGTCCTCTCTATTTGTACTCTAAGAGATGGGCAAAAATCTAAATGCCACCCCCAAATTTGTGACCCATCCAAAATTTACGTATAGATTACAACTACTGCCTCTCTTCTGTGTGTCTGTTTCCTGATCTCGATCTCTCTTTCTTTCTCTGTGTGTGTGTCCGTCTTTCCCCCTTCCCCTCTCCCCATCTCAAACTCTATCTCTCTCTCTTTCTGTGATTCTACCTTTTTTTGAAATAGACGCTCACAGTAACAGTTAGTAAAAGGAGCTTTTTCTTTCGATTACACTAAAACTTGTACTATCAATGAGCAGATAAGAAGTGTTTTGCCATGAATGCTCACTATTAGTGCAAAGTGCAATAAGATCTTGCTCTATTTGTAACTTGGCTCTCTCATGGTGAAAAAAAGAGCCTGGCTAGTGGTGAATTCAACTCAAACATGTGCTTGCAATTAAACATAGATTAGAGACACTGGTGTTTCATAAAGGAACTAAACTCACTGGAATCATATCTCTATCAATCTTCAGCTTGTGTTTTCTCAACGTGGCTACAGCTTGGTCCCTGTCTCTCGCTAAGACTCTGTTCAAATCATCTCTTTGCTGGAGCTCCCTCTCTAGTTCCCTTGTCAGTGCAACAGCCTGTAAACAAAATAATACAATATCATGTCAAGGAAAAGTAGGAACAAAACAAAAGATACTTGGTCTTAATAATAAACAGGCAATAATTTTCAGTTTGGCATAGTCTAATTGAGGCTTATCAATATTAAATTTGCATTTGTTCCTGTCTAACACTCCACATTTTATGCTTTGCAGTGGATAGTCTTTATCATTAAAAAGTGTATTAAAGCCTATCTGCACTTGTTTGGCCAGGAGAAATTAGACCACCTTGCATGGTCACCGATAGGTGGTTATCTCAGCAAATCACCTCTCAATTAACATAAGAAAAATGGGACCAACGGGTTCCGCTTTTCATTGTTTGCTATATAAAGGGCTCAAGTAGCTACAAGTAGTGCAGTCCTGCTTTAAGGCAGCCTGAATTTACAGATCATCTGAACATAAAGACCACTTTTCTGGTCTCACTTTAGAGTGGTCTTTATGTACAGGTATCTTCTCAATTAACAAACAATCTCAAATAACACCTCATGTATATCAAAAACAGGCAGAATTATAGTATCACTTGATATCTGAATCTAAAAACGGGAACTGTAAAGTTTGCCTACACGTAAAATGTAAATAATTGGCTCACTTCATCTCTTGACTTGGTAAGCCTAGCGATTAGATCCTCCGACTTGGCATACTGGTTCCTCTCTGCATCCTCGTACCTCCTCTGCCAGTCCAGCTCCAGCTGAGCCTTGGTGCGCTCCATGTTCTGTTCCTTCTCTGCAGCCACAACTAGCTCCTTCTGGTATCTTAAGTTTTTTCCAAAATAACATAAAGTATAAGTGCGGTTATAACTAAACTGGAGTAAGGGCATTAGGGGATGTGCCAAATTCAGAACATTACCCAAATTTCACAAAATACTTCGCATTCATCTAGTATGAACTTTTTTTATATGCAATGGTGGGGGTGGCATTAGTTTCTCCATGCTCATAAAATAAGAAAATCTGTGTGAAAATATTGCCTCTCAATAAGAATTGACAAAATTACACATTTCTGCTTACCGGTATATTTGTAAACACCCAAATCCAAGAAAGCAAAATGACAAGAATTGTAACTCAAACCATGGAATCTATCAAGCATTTAAGCTCATGGCACATTCGCACTGCAGATTTACAAATTACTTTACTATTGGAAGTGAAGTCTTGTTAAAAAATTGAGGAGTTTCTTATCGAGATCCTCAAAAGAATTAAAGATCCATTCTCACTTCAATTGGTAAAGAATCAAAGACACACATTTAGGTTAGAGATGAGTACACTACATGATGAATTGCTGTTTGGTCTGCAACCAGTTTGTCAACTACCCAATTGGTCCATTTCCATAAGGTCAACCTTCCCGTCTAATAAGGTCTTATAATCATTTGATGATGATTATTGTATCATATGGATAGAAGACAAACTGGAAATTAGACTAACTGAAAATGAAACTAAATGAGCAGTAGACCAAATAGGTTGTAGACTAATTGGAGATTAGACCAAATGACTATTAGCCTGAATGGTCATTAGACCAAATGATAAGTAGACAAAATGATTATTAGACCATGTGGATAGTAGAAGGACTGGGTGTAGACCTTATGGGAATAGACCAATTGGGTAGTCGATGAAATGGTTGTAGACCAAATGGCAATAAACCCATTACATTACCTCTCTATGTCATCCTTGCGGCATTCTAGTTCTGCCCTCAGTTTGCCATCTCTGTCCCGCAGTGACTCAATCACCAGGTCTTTCGACACTAAGTCTTTGGACACCTTGGAAACTTGACCATCAAGTTGGTTCCTTAGTTCTCTGGACTCTTGCTGATGTCTGCAAAAATACCAATTAGATCAGGCTCACAGTTTGAAAGCTATACTCTTGCACAAAGAGATATAATATGCAATGACACGATTGAATTTCCATCTTACACAAGAATGCAAAGCAAGCAGACGATGGTACTGGTGAAGAAAACTTCTTTCTGCAAAGTCAGGGAAAAGCTATGAAACCCCACATTAAACGTGGTTGCCTGTGGACAATGTAATCACTATTTCATTCTGAGAGTTAATCATACAAAGTGTTCAATAGAGTCCATCTTTGCACTACATAAATCTGGTACCATAATCATCATTGAACATTCAACCACTGCTTTACACAAACACAATTTAAACAACTGTAAAATATGGAAGCAATTTTATAATAAAATTAATACTGTCCTGATATATTCACACATAAATGCAAGTACAGTTTAATGCATATATATATATATATATATATATATATATATATATACAAAAGAGGGGGATATATTAATTACTCCATAACTTAACCATTTTTAAACAACCATGAGTGAATAAGCTCCTTAATGAACTATGTGAGGCAGGAAGTTTCGCAATGAGGTTTTGAATATAGAATAGTAATTAAAATATGAAAGTGCAAAGGGTTAGCCTATCTTCTTGAGTCCTTTATTGTAGGTAGGCAAGGTATTCAACCAAATGTTACAACTCCCTGAGATTTTAACTCACCTTTCAACGAGCATTTCTTTATCCTTTAATGCATCCTGGTGCTCCCATGCCTCCCTCCTGCTCTCCACCTCCCTGGCCTCCAGGGCTCCTTCCAGTCTCCTGATCTCCTCCTGGAGCTTCCTCTCTGCCTCCACCTGGGACTCCTTCAAGCCCACCACAGCAGTCTCCTTCTCCCTGGCATAGCGGTCCAGCTCCTTGTGTCTGACATGGAGAATCACAATAATAATGATAATAAAACAGTGACAATAGACCAGCTCACGGTTAGCACATGTCCCAAATGACCCCGAATATCCACAAATCTTCAAAACATGAAGAGGTCCCACTTTGTACATTTTGAAATAATCACTCATACAGCGATGGAGGTGCTACATAAATAGCTTTTGTTTCCTCTTTCCTAAAGAATACTTCCACCTGTGTATCATGGAGTGCACTGCTTGTGCATAAATGAATAACGACAACATGACTTTCATGAGCACATATCCAGTATTTTGTCTAAGTGTATTTCACAATTTGGTCTGCAATGACCTTTATCTGCTCAAGCTCAGACTGCAACTATGAACTGGCGTATAATAACAACAATGAGTGTGGTGATGATGATGATGACAATGTTTACAACAATAAATGTTACTTTGTTTTGAAAATTAACTTCATTATTTCATACAGACACTAACACTTTTTAAATGCATTCTTAATTACCCAGGTCATTGCAATTGATTGCAATTACAAACTATACCCTCCACACTACACAATCTTCCCCTTGCCCTAAAAATAGCAATGATCTTTCAACAACAATAATAACAACTCACTTCCTTTTTTAAAGAAATGAATGCCAATGAAGCAAGAGTTGAAATGTCAGTTATGAAAAAACAACAACAACAAGCAGACCAAACAAAACTTACAAACACATAGTACACTTTGAAGAAATGAGGCAATATTTATAGTTAACAACTAAATAATTCATACCCTTACCAAGTTTTGTAATTTGTTCAAGTATGTAACAAAGTGATTTATCCTAATTTGTGTTTCTTGAGAATGTGACATATTGAAGCTTACATCTTTAAGTATTCAAGAAAGGCCCTAGAAACCAACCAGTCCACCTTTCAGTCTTGAGTTATGAAAAAAAACAAAAAAGACATCGTATTTACAAGGGGTATGATTAATTTTGTTCTGTATTATACATAGCCCTTTTCATAAAAATGATCAACATTAACTCACTTTCTGTTGAACTCCTCCTCAGCTCTCTCTACTGTTTGCTGTGCATGTATCAACTGAGACTCAAGCTCGGCGATCCTGAGGTCACATACAGCATGAAAATAGAGAATAGGACATAACAATAATACTTTAGAAATATCTAATTTTAATCACTAGTCTTTAACAAGATCTCACTCCTACCTATCAATAATATCATATGTATGTATAATGCATAATCGCTAGTTCTACGGCATTAGTGAAGACCACAGTGTAAGAATCTCAAATAATTGTTGTGTGACCCGACACCGACTCCAAACCATTCAATATTTGTCCATACTGGGCCCCCATCTTATAAAGAGTTGCAATCAATCAATCGCAAGTTTGCAGTCTCCTTTCTCTTATGTAGATAGTGACGATTGATATCAATGGCAAGTAACTTACGATTAATATCAACTCTTTATAAGACAGGGCCCAGGTTATCTAAATTTTATTTGGTCTGTTGTCAGTCTGTTGCAGGTCTTGTTGGTATAAAGTGAACCGAGGTACACTTTAGTGGAACAAGCTGAAATGTGCAGCATAACAAAACAGCCCATTACCAGGTGTAAACATCCTTTGTTCATACATTTTTATTTGTGTATGTATTTAGAGATGTGCAGTCATTTCACTAAAATACTGAAGAAAAAATTTGAGAGAAAAAAATGCAGAGCTCTACAGCAGAAGCCAGCATATACATGTAGGGATAGTTTTGCTGGCTCAGGCAAGGCTATTGGGAACGGTTTCCGAACAAGCTGAAATGTGCAGCATAGCAGAACAAATTTGGAGTCTCTAAATACAAGGTGAAGAAGGCAAATAGATTTCACTATGCTCCCTCCACATGCTGATGCCGGGACAATTTTGTACCGACATGTCCACAGAGAAAATCAATGCTATGAATCTAGTCTACCTATTTTGAAAGAATTCAAGTTTGTTTACCTTGCATCTTTCATGCCTCGGAGGTCACTCAGCTCCCATTCTGTTTGTTTGAGTTTCTTTTTGAGGTCGTCCATCTTGGTGTCACTGGTCTTGAGCTCTGTAGAGGTCTGTTGACTGGCCCCTCTCACCAGGTCCAATTCCCTGCTCAATAACTTGGCCTATATTGCATATTAGATCACAGTCAAAGCATTGTATTGTTAAAAAGAAAGAACAAACTTAGTAGTTTGCCTGTGCAAAAGATATATAAATAAATAAAAACAATTCTATCAAACTAGCTTATGATGGTACAATTTTATCTAGTTGGTACGCTGTGAATATGAAAGTATGATATGTTTAACACATTTTGTGTTTAAGGATCTAAGTTTCTTTCCAAAATTTTAAACTGGCATAGAATACGTTTGGATCATAACTTTATCCTTGCAAAATGATACATTTGTGATGAAGGGACATTGATTAACTATCAAGATAAACAGCCAAAACATTGCTCAATATGTATTTGTGACACTTATGTGCAAAGTGGGAGGCATAGTAAGGATTAGGCCAGGTGGTTTAAATTCAGCCAAAATAGTGTGAAGGTTGCTAGCTCATCTCATATGTACTTACCTTCATTTCATGTGCGAGCACCGTAGAGCTCAGCTCATCGATCTTGGTCCTATACTCCTTCTCTCTCCTCCTGGAGGCATCGTCAAACCCAGCTGACATCTCCCTGCGCTGAATCTCAAGATCCTCCTCAACCTCACCAATCCTTCGCTTCATGTCACGCCTCAGCGCCTCCAACTCATCTCGCTCTGTCTGCAGCTCAACATCTTTAGAACTGAGCATGGATAACATTATACTATTTAATTGGATTGGATTGGATTGGTTTGGTTTATTGAGAAATCACATCAAACAGGCAGCTCGCAGGCTGAAAATGTTCAATTTACAAACAAGTTAAAAATATAAAAACATATAAACATATACAAAACTAAAATACATATTGTAAGTCATTGTAAGATGAAATCGAAATTGCAAAAACAAAGTTATACAGTAATGTAATAATATACTTTCATGTTGAAGAACCAAGACGGTGGTAAGGAGAGAATGGAGAAGAAAAAGGGAAGTTGTTTGAGCGAAAGAGTTGAGAAAGTATTTAACAATTGCTAAACAAACATTTCTATTACAAAAAATGAAATTAAGCATTAAAAAAAACCTATTGGATGGGATGAAATTAAACCATAAAAGTCAAAATGACAGTCTCTATTTCGTTTTCTCCTTTAATATAAATGTAATGACAGCATTCATTTAGATCGAGAAAGTTGTTCAAATAAAATTAAAATGAGTATTTACATAACAATATAGTGTAATTTCGAATTAGATATTGCACATTACTTTGGAGAAAGAGACCCAAGTCAAATAATTGGCAAGGGCATGAATTTGTATTAAAACAAATATATAAAGGAAGGGAACACTAATGACCTAATGAAACAACGGATTAAAAATATGTTTACAGTTTTAGGCAGTCTGAGAGTAAATTTGGATAAAAGTGTATATTGCAAACGTATTATTATACCGGTTTGTTTAAAACCAAATATCTATTAATATGCATGAGAATAAGAAAGTTATTTGTCTAAAAAATATAGTACAGAGTGTATTTAACAATTGCTATTGTTAATTGTAATGACATCATTCATCTGAAACAAGAAAAAAAAATGATATTTGAATAACAATATTACATAATTTCGTATAAGATATTGCACATTATATTAGAGATAAAAAGCACAACATTAATATTTAGCAAGGGCATAGGCCTACAATTGAAGTTTTAAAAAAAAAGGAACACTAATGAATTAATATTACGTAACGTCTTCAGTTCACAGGGACTGTAGCACAGCCTATTATGTTGTGAAGAAGTCATTGTTACAAGTACAAAAGATATGAACAACAGACAACAAAGTACTAGGAGTGGTCCGATCCGCCGTAAGTCATGTACGTTATACATGAATTGTGTATATCTGTTCTCAAACGATGACTGGTGCATGATGAAAACGTGGTTGTAAACAGTAAAGTGAATTGCAAATCACACAACAAAGTTACTCACGGTTGACAACTAATGATGATAAAACAGATCAAACACACAAAAAATTGACTAAATTCTCCAAGGTGGTGAAAAATATGAAAATTAGTGTCCTGATGAAGAGCAAGCTAAAAACATGGGCTAGCAGCATAACAGCGCCCTCTTTGAATGCACTTACAAACTGAAAGGTGGTGTGGTAGAGTTTCAGCAGAGCATCGTCTGTTGTTATTTTTTCTTCCTTCAAGAATTGCGCCATATGAAAATTTAGGTCTCTAGTAATTGCCAAGGAATAATTGATACAAATTCATTTTGAGGCTATGGAAGCTACAAATGTAGATGTGTTGAGCATTGACTTCCTTGATAAAGAATGTTTACTGACTACATATACAGGTGTACACCATTCAATTACACTACAGGATAAAGTAAAGACATTAGACATTGCAAGTAAGTACTTTCAAAGAAAGCTCCATAAGGTCTAGAGTTTATGTTCAAAGTTCAAACATTGGCTTCAATGTAAATTGCCAACATACTTGGACCTCTAACAAAACTGAAATAATATATCTTCTAATACAAATTTTTGAGAATTTTATCGAGCTATTCTCATTTTTTTTTTTTTGGTAACTACTCTTTGGGTCATTTTAGTTTTAAAGAGATCAATCCACTTCATTGAGAATAAGATACTAACATCTTGTATTGCTCCACCTCAGCCTGTTTCTCCCTGACCCTCTGTTGATAGTGCCTCTGGAGATCCTCCAAAGACCTTTCATCCTGAGCCCTTCTTGTCTTCAGCTCATCGATCTGAATCTTGAGCTGGCTGACTCCTGCCTCTCTGGACTGCAATCTGGCTCCTAGTTGCTCCTGCGTCACCTCAAGCCTTCAAAATAATCATATCAGACAACAGTAACAGAACAATCTGTCTGTCGAAGAACATTTATGACAAATCTGGTATCTCAAGTATTCTTAGTGCCAAAGTTCTGAAGCCATAGAAAGGGTCGCTGAATCAATGTCTACACAAATATAAGTCAGACCTTCCACAAATTCAATAATTATTACAAGAGGTAACTATTAAAATAGTCTTTTGACACTGATCTCCGATCTAGAGAGAAAAAATCAAGCTACATGTATGTACACATATGGTGTGCACCATACTTACCCATTACAAAGTTATGTTCAAAAGAGATGCATTTATCCATTCATTTTAAGTTGGGCATCTGCTACACAGCACTGTTATCACTGCTTCTGAAATAGCAGTTCAAAATGCATTCTCAGATCTAGAATTTAATACAGGAAGCACATTGTACATTTGGAACTGTGTTTGACCATAGTCCATACATAATTACCGATCTAATTCCTGATCCCTCTCTGCAAGAAGCTTCAGATTGAATTTGAAATCTTCTTTGAGTGTGTGAAACTTCTCTTGCTGCTCCTTCAAGATCTTGTCTTTCTCCCGGATACGATCCTCCAGACTGTGGGCATGCATTGCCTGAAGGTTGCGCCATTCCTGCTCCTTCTCTGCTGCCAGCCGTGCAAAGGAGGCATCCCCAAGATTGGTCACATTATCTGCACGTTCCTGTGCCATGGGTGGTAATCTTTACTGGAGTTCAGTCACATTGTCGAACCTGTACATGAAAGAGAGGCACTAATGCACTTTGAAATTGAAATTCTTGCAGCCGTATTTTAAATTGTCGCTGCGCATGAAGGATGATGACGTTATCCATTGACAGTAACAGTTTAAAATATGGCTGCAAGAATTTCAAAACAGAATGCAACTTCAACAAACTAAATGCTGAAAAAAAGACATCTAAATGCAATGCATTAGCCTAGCCCTAGGCCTAATCTAAAAATGTTCAAGTATAAATGCATCGGATATGAATCTGCTAAAATGACATTTTAGTCCAAAGTTTGGTGGCACTTTTGGTGTTACGTGACTACCACCAACTTCTAACAGGAGACCCTATTTTGTGGCTGGCTTCTGTCTCTAAAGAGAGGAGTCAACCACAAAGAACGTTGCACATTGAGTTTATGTGCTCCCATTGGCCGATCCCCTCGACTCCTCGAGTGGCTTCAAATTTAAGTGAGAGAGGGCCTATTTAACTTAAGCGCAACTTACTGTAAGTTTAATGGCAATGTCAACTAATAGTACGTACCGTACCTTAAATATGACGAAAATGAGAATTGTTCGGACTTACATACAATGTAAGACTGAAACTTAAAGTGAAATACTGAAACTTTTAAGGATGCTGAAAAATCATAAAAAATAGAGGGTTTGACTGAAATATCATAATTTTGATATCGGATCAAACAGAAAATTGCAAGCTTTCTCCTCGCACCAATATCTTATACCATTGAGTGAATGGAAGCCAGCGATAGCCAACAAGAAGGCCATAATTGCAGGCCTCGAATTACATCAAATTTTGGTCAAGGCCACTTTTTTGAGAGGGCACAAATCCACTGAAAGGGGCACAAATCTATCCTAAGGGGCAGTATATAAGGCCAACGTGGAAAGTGCGCGTAAAATCACCTCACGCCGTTGTTTTCAAGGTGTGGGGGGGGGATATGTGTGCCCAGGGGCGGATCCAGGATTTCTTTGGGGGGGGGCCACAAATCGCAATGACTCAGCCAGCCGCTGAATAAGCGGGGGAGGGGGGGGGGGGGTGGGGGGGGGGGTAAGAGGACACCTTTTGTGTTTTTTGGTCTCGAAATTTGAAAATTTGACATTTTGTTCCCGTTGGGGTGGGGGGGGGGAGGGGGGTGGTGAGGTCACCTTTTTTAGATCAGCCTTTAGCATAATTTTTTTTTTTGTGTGTTTCATTAAAAAAAAAAATTAAAAAAACATCACAAAAAAAGGGGGAGGGGGGATGTTGCTCCAAAATACAGACATAAAAAAACCCGAAGGGGGGGGGTTCAACGCCCCAAACCCCCCCCCCCCCCTGCGTACGTGCCTGCTCGTTTGAATACAGTTTCCCTCCTCCTTTTACGTTTCATTAAATCATTAGAGAAAGAAGAGGATTCGTTGTACCGTTTTTTACTCTTAATCCTCGTCTAAATTCACCCCCCCCCTCCCCCTCCCGCGCAAAGCTCGCAAGCTTTTACGTTTCATTAAATCATTAGAGAAAGAAGACGATTTGTTGTCCCGTTCTCGACTCTTAATCCTCGTCTGAATTCAGTTCCCCACCCCCATCCGCGCGCGCGAAGCGCGGAAGCTTTTACAATACATTAAATCATTAGAGAAAGAAGACGATTCGTTGTAGCCTACCGTTCTAGACTCTTAATTCTCGTCTGAATTCAATTCCCCCGCCCCAATCCGCGCGTGCGAAGCACAGAAGCTTTTACATTTCATTAAATCATTAGAGAAAGAAGACGATTCGTTGTACCGTTCTCGACCCCTCATCCTCATCTAAATTCAGTTACCCCACCTCCTGCGCGATCATAGGGCGGAAGCTCTGACATTTAATTTAATTATTAGAGAAACAAGACGATTCGTTGTACCATTCTTGAAAATAATCCTCGTCTGCATGAATACAGTTTTCTCCCTCCCGCGCAAAGCGCGGAATCATTAGAGAAAGAAGACGATTTGTTGTACCGTTCTCGACTCTTAATCCTTGTCTGAATTTCAAAAATGTTTTTTGTCTGCTCCTTTTTCTTCTCCTTTTTCTTCATACGTCGACCTCTTCCTTTTCTCTCCTCTCCTTTTTGGGCTTTTTTTTTGGGGGGGGGGGGCGCCCCCACTGCCCCCTCCGGCTACGTGCCTGCGGTCAGATGAACATCTTTTGATACCTTATCCGCCCCCGGAAACTCATGGGTTGAAGGCAAATTACGGTCAGATAAGCATTCAGGGGCCCGCCTCAGGGCCCCTGGTGGAGTCGAGGGTGCGGAAACCCCTGAATTTCAGGGGTTTCAGGCATTTGATTACGGTCAGATGAACATATTTTTATACCTTATTTGTGACACTGGCAGGATACTGATTGGCGTGAGGTCCAGCGGGCGGAGCCCCCAGAAGCCCATGGGTTTAAAGCATTACATTACCATCAGTTTAGCATCCAGTGGGGTCCAGGGGGCAGAGCCCCCGGAAGCTCAGGGGTTTAAGCATTTGATTACGGTCAGATGAACATATTTTTATACTTTATTTGTGACACTGGCAGGACACTGATTGGCGTGAGGTCCAGCGGGCGGAGCCCCTAGAAGATCAAGGGTTTTAGGCACTAAATTGCAGTCAGATGAGTATCAAGGGGCCTGCCAAAGGGCCCTTGGTTGGGTCCCGGGGGCAGAGCCCACGGAAGCTCAGGGGTTTTAGGCGTTTAATTACGGTCAGATGAGCAATTTTTGATACCTTATTTTGTTGAGAAACTGGTAGTTAACTATTTTTTCTTTCTTGCTCTCTTTCATTCTATTTCTCTTTAAAATGCTTTTCAAAAAAAAAATGGGGGGGGGGGGAGCTGGAGGGAGTGGGGAGTTTCCCCCTTAGACGTTTTTAATAAATTATTAGGGAAAGAAGACGATTCGTCTCGATCTCGACTACCAGTATTAATCCTTTTCTGAACTCAAGTCACACCCCTCCCGCGCGATGGGCGGAAGCTATGACGTTTTAATTAAAACGTATGGGAAAGAAGACGATTCTATGTACCATTATCTCGACTCTTAATCCTTTTCTGATTTAATTCCAGACCCTCCTCCCGAGAAAAATCCCAAGTTTTTCACTGATTAAAAACTGTGAAAACGCACCAAAAAAGGTCACAACGCGAAGTGAAGATGTTGAACCAACGATGGGTAAACAAAACTTCCCGATATTGATTGGTCCAAATAAAAATGATGGATTGACAAACTAAGCCTGAGTCATTACGGTTTTTGTGCCAAACGTTTCACTCATTTGGATGAAGACATTCTTTCATATCTCCGTATCGGCAATTAAGTCCCGCCAATTAATTTAGGAGTTCCATAGTGGCAATTAAGTCTCGCCAATAATTATTGTTTTTAGATCTCCGTCGGGGCAACAAAGTCTTGCCGATTATCATTGTTTTAGATCTCCGTAGGGGCAACAAAGCCTTGCTGATAATTATTGTTTTTAGATCTCAGTAGGGGCACAAAAACCTTGCCGATTCGTATTGTTTTTAGATCTCCGTAGGGGCAACAAAACCTTGCCGACTATTATTGTTTTTAGAGCTCCGGAGGGGCAACATAACCTTGCCGACTATCATTGTTTTTAGAGCTCCGGAGGGGCAACAAAACCTTGCCGACTATCATTGTATTTAGAGCTCCGGAGGGGCAACAAAACCTTGCCGACTATTATTGTTTTTAGAGCTCCGGAGGGGCAACAAAACCTTGCCGACTATTATTGTTTTTAGAGCTCCGGAGGGGCAACAATACCTTGCCGACTATTATTGTTTTTAGAGCTCCGGAGGGGCAACAGAACCTTGCCGACTATTATTGTTTTTAGAGCTCCGGAGGGGCAACAAAACCTTGCCGACTATCATTGTTTTTAGAGCTCCGGAGGGGCAACAAAACCTTGCCGACTATCTTTGTTTTTAGAGCTCCGGAGGGGCAACAAAACCTTGCCGACTATCTTTGTTTTTAGAGCTCCGGAGGGGCAACAAAACCTTGCCGACTATTATTGTTTTTAGAGCTCCGGAGGGGCAACAAAACCTTGCCGACTATTATTGTTTTTAGAGCTCCGGAGGGGCAACAAAACCTTGCCGACTATTATTGTTTTTAGAGCTCCGGAGGGGCTACAAAACCTTGCCGACTATTATTGATTTAAGAGCTCCGGAGGGGCAACAAAACCTTGCCGACTATTATTGTTTTTAGAGCTCCGGAGGGGCAACAAAACCTTGCCGACTATTATTGTTTTTAGAGCGCCGGAGGGGCAACAAAACCTTGCCGACTATTATTGTTTTTAGAGCGCCGGAGGGGCAACAAAACCTTCCGGTAATTATTGTTTTTAGAGCTCCGGAGGGGCAACAAAACCTTCCGGTAATTATTGTTTTTAGAGCTCCGGAGGGGCAACAAAACCTTGCCGACTATTATTGTTTTTAGAGCGCCGGAGGGGCAACAAAACCTTGCCGACTATTATTGTTTTTAGAGCGCCGGAGGGGCAACAAAACCTTGCCGACTATTATTGTTTTTAGAGCTCCGTAGGGGCAACAAAACCTTTTTGAACATTACAAGTCAGGTTGGCTTACGATGACTATAATGTCGGCAAAACTTTTGTGGATTAAAATATTGTGGCCGTAAACGGTTTGATTTTGAAAAGGGCATTCCGGCCAGTGAGAGGGGCATGGCGGCAAATTGCCGATTGCCGGTGGGTAATTCGAGCCCTGTAATTGTCGGCGCAAATTTAGTAAAATGAAGCTGCGATTCGCCGAGATCGGATGAATGTTTTTCACATGCGCTAAATTTAAGCTAAAGTTCTTCTACATGCCCCGGCCCTGGCACCGTTGTGCGAGCCGTACGGCCCTACGGCGCGGGTTACCGTCTATGTATGAGCAAGATGAGGAATAATGTTGACAAATGTCAGTTTTAAACTTTTATTAAAGGTTCAAGGTTCAAGGTTCAAGGTTCATTTTATTTCTTTCTTTCACAACATTTTTACATATAATAATAGAACAAAAAACAGCATAAGAAAAAAATAATTTAAGTGCAATTTTAAGTTGATATATAATCCAAATGAAAGAAAGTGGAGACCTTAGAAAAGCTGGGCTTGTAAGAGCAAGGTCCCCAAATAAAATAATCCATCAATGTTTCACTTTTAAAAATGTTTCAAAGTTATCAAAACTACACATGATTAAATATGGGGGAAATATTTACAAAACAAAAGGGATAGCTTGAAATTTGAAAAGGAGAGGATGAAAATATATACAAAGGAATCGAGAGGAAAAAAGCAAACTGGAACGAGAAAAAACAACAAAACAGAGAAAAACAGAGAAAGAAGAAAGTTATATGTATAGGGAAAATGGTATTTGGTGTAAAGAAAAAGAAAAATAGAGAGAGGAGGGGGGGGGGGGGGGGGGTGAGAGAGAGAGATAATGTGAAATGCTGACATTTATATTGAATAATCAAACATAACAAAAACAAAAAGATAATGCACGTTATCAATAACAATTGATAAATTATTACCTAATATCATTTCTGGTGATATAATTTTTACGTTAATTGTCGACATAGTTACTCAATAAATGTAATTTCAATTTGCGTTTAAAAACAAAGACACAGACAGATCTAGTTACATTGATAGGAAGTGAGTTCCAAAATTTGGGACCAGTACAAGCCAGCGTCTTCAGAGCAAAAGCAGTTCTTACACATGGAATATGAAGTGCAGTTGCCTGCCTTGTATTATAGCTATGAATTTGATTGTTCTTTCGAAATATTTGTACTAACGCATTTGGGAGAGTACCATTTTCATAATTGCGCCTAACTGTATAAAGTAAATGTCTTCAACCTTCAAAAGCTTATCAGTAGGGGCGCTGGTCCAAGAATGAGGATCGTCCTCATAAACAAGGATATCCTCATAAACGAGGACAAAATGCGTCCTCAAAAATAAGGGTTGTCTGCATTTTTGAGGACGTTTTTTTTCATTGGCGCTCTGGGGGTTTCATGTTACAGAACGGCCTGCTGGCGATGCCAAAAATGGATTCCCGGGGAAAATAACCCTAGTTCACCGTCTACTTTTATGGGTTGTCCGTCTTCCCAAGGATTTATTGCTTATAATGTGAAAGTCTCTGTACAATGTCAATGTGAAATGCATCAAGAAAATCATTGCAGAATCCGTCTTTTGCATCGCCAATGCACCGATCAAAAATATGGAACGTCTGCAAAAATGCAGACGGTCCTTATTTTTGAGGATGCATCGGTCCGTGTTTACGAAGACGATCCTCGTTTATGAAGACGATCCTTATTCTCGGACCAGCGCCCCTACTGCTAAGTTATTTAGGGTCTACTGTAGAACAAAACATTAGTATGAGCACGATAGCTCGCATTAAAAACAACTCTAACCACCCTAAAAATGACCCATACCAGACGGTTATTTCTATCTACTGCTAGCTAGCTGCCAATGCGCATTAGCATTGACTCTATCATGCTTTGCATGAGTGGCTAGCTGCTAGCTGCTGCCTTGCCTTGCCAGCCAAGCCCAGCTAGCTAGCCAAGCCATGGGACTCGCCCCCCGCCCAGCCCGGGGGCGGAGTTGACAACAACACTCAACACAGACAACAGCACTCACACGATCACGAGCAGGAACCGTCTCTGTACCCTCATTTAAACATACACTTTCGGTAAATGGCATGATAAATCAACATAAAAACTGCAAAGATAAGGTTTTAGGCCTAGTTATTCGTTTAATCAGTTGAACATTGAATATTAAACTCACTCTTCGACTTCGCCGAATCGAATTAACCGCTACACACGATTGAAGTTAGTCGAATGAAAGGCAATTTTTAAATGGTATGGTAGCTGTAACTGCTCCTTATTTAAATTGGTTTAGTTTAAGTTTATAGGCGTTTTTCATTCACAACTTGCTAGGCCGTCGTCTCTTTCCAAAATTATTAATTTATTGAATTTTCTCTCTAAAAAAAGTTATAGAGTCTAAAAAGAAAAAAAGAGGAAGGAAAGAGGATGGAAAGAGAAAGAATCCTAAAAATAGTCATTTATGACATGAAATTGTACATATATGTATATATATATAAATAATTCATAAAATAGTGTGTGGCAAAAATAGTCAACTGTGACTGATTGCCAAACAAAAACAAATCAAGAAGAAAGAAGAAGACCAATGATGATTACGATTATTTTCTTTCTTTTCTGAGAGATCAGTGCTTCGGATCACTGATGAAAAGAATTAATTGTGATTTTAGAGTATAATTATGAGACCTTTGATTTAAAAAAAAAAAAAAAGAGTGAAAAAAACACACCAACAATCAAACAGTATTCATTTTTGTCCACTAGCTGTAATTCCCTTCTGATTTTAGTGAGATTTTCTGTATTTTTTACCGTTTTACCAAGTCCTCCTAGATCTATCTCTCTATTTTGTTTTAATTCCTCTTATTGCACTTTTAAGTGCTCAAAGGGGTATGTGGTCGGCAAATATCTGCTGCCCTTTCTCTTTTATTCTCTGACACACTCTCTCTCTCTCTCTCTCTACTTGGTCCATGATCAATCTATGATTAAATGCTTATACAGTTTGACCATTATCACATTCTCCGCACTTATAATTCTTCCGTTTTTCCATCTACACCCCTCCCTCTTTCTACCTTTTGTCAGGTTCTCATTTCATATCTGTTTTTATTATCATTTGACCATCTTTCCCACTCTCTCTCTCTTTCCTCTTTCCGATTTGTCAATCAGGCATCCTCTCTCTTCGTCCCCTCACTCATTTTTGTTTTAAATCGAGCCCCAAACCCTCATCCCAGAAATAAGATAACCCATTTTAAACAAGAAAGAAATATATTTCACAATTTTGTGTGTGGAATAATAACAAATTTGTATTTTTTATTGAGAATCAAACAAGAACACATGATTTTCTATACATTTATTAGTACTGTTTTATTAGAAACGTTTCTCTTCAGATGTAACATTTCAAATTTGAGGCACTTGCTGCAACACTGGGTGAAAAAGCAGATTAACTATCTCTCTTGAACACAGAAAACTTTACTTCATTAATTTGCAGCTTGACTAATTACATTGTCATACACTGTGATAGGATGAGATAGATCTATATCAAATTTAAGGTTTGAAAAAATAATGCAATGGAAAGAAGAGAAACTTTCAAATAGCCTTTAGTTTAAGTGAACCCTAAAATATGAATTATCGTGCAGATATATAGGTAGTTTAAAAAGAAAATCAAATAAATTTTTCTCTCTACAAATTCTTCATTTTCTTTAAATGCAATCATGAGGATCCATTGTCTTTGAATTACACACTGAAAAAAAAAATCCTAGACATTTCAAAGTTAGCAAATATTTCAAGAATCGGTAGCGGCCCTTTCTTCCTAGCCATTACAATTATCACCTACTCTATACATGCAGGGTTTCAAAGAGGATAGGGATGCACACTGCACAGGCCTCAAAAATATTTCAGAACAAATTCTTTTAGGGGAAAAAGCAAAGAAAATCAGCAAATCTTTTAAAAATATTGCTATAACTAATAACTGTTCTATTTTTTTTTGGTATTTATTCATTCGTACTTGCATCCGGAAAGTGAATACTGATAATGGTAAGTTCTCAAAAAGCTATTTTCCAAACAGCTAAATATACAAAACATCTGTCTCTTGAACCAATACTTTATTAACGTCTAATTTACAGACGTTTATACAATGTCATTTATCATTTGGAATGATATAACTTTTATTCAACATCTATTAGGACTCCCATCAAGAATGATTCTACTCATAATACTTGATGGTTAAAGCACCATAAAAGTGAGAGAGTGAATTCATCATTAGTCTTTTCTCTCATGAGGTAGAAGTTTTAGGTGAACTAAATATTAAATGGACTGCCCATATTTAAGAATACTAATGATTCCAACCTCCTCTTCCCCCAAATGTCCAAATCTGCATTCAAGGTGTCACATTCAAGTGGTTTAATCACTTGACTGGAAATGAAAAAGGTTGTGGGTTTGTACCCTGGCATGGCACTTATGTCCTTGAGCAAGGCACTTTATCTACATTGGTCCTCTCCACCCAGGTGTAAATTAGGTACTGGGTAGGATGTGAACATTATTGTGGTTAATTTAGCATGTTTACACCCATAAAAAGATGATGAGATGGAATGCTCCCCAGGGAGTGGAGTATGTGCACTATGATGTGCAGTAATTGAATTCAGTGACTGTGGTAATAATAATACTTGAAGCGCTTTTATCAGTCAATGGTTAATCACTATATAAGAAACTGGTATTACTACATTGTTATTAGTATTAATATGTCTTATGGCACATCACAATATACATATTTTGGCACAACATTGATCTACAAATGTCACTCTTAACCCAGGTGAAGCAAATGAGTAATTGGGAAAAATTCCTTGAATAACTGAGCACCTTATCATGGAAGCCCTGCTAAAGCCATTGTGACAATAGCATTCAGTACTTTGTCTCCTGTGGAAAAGGTGCCTTATGTTTACAACTATTGTTGTCATACTTTTTGTAATTATTGTCATACAATAACAACAGATGAATTTGATTACAATCTCGGAATGTGCAATGATTGCATAGAAGGCATCAATAGATTGACATTCAATACATAGCAGCATCGTAATAATCATGATTATCAAGTGGGGTAATTAACACTGCCATAGAAAAGTAAGGTGATTGTATCACACATTCCTTCATTTCTTTTTAGGGGTTTCCCCTTCCCCCTCTCCAGTGCTCTTCCTCTTCTTAGATGGTCCAGTCTTGCTTGCTAGTAGAGATGGATCCAGCTTACAGGCCATGTAGTGGGTCCATAAGGCCAGTTCCACTTTATGCGGGGTCCACTCTCCGGAGGGATCTGGACAGGAAAAAATAAAAATGTTGAAAATACATGGATGTTTGAGGATTGCTTTATCTGACTGCTAAGAAAACATGCTTGTAAGTAAGCAACCAGGGGACCGACGGCTTTAAGTCCTCTCAGAGGGACTTGGTTAATGAGGATTAAAGACTTACTAAATGGCACAAGCGCATTGACTTGGTTTTGAACCTTAGACCTCCCGGTTACAAGACCAATGCTCTAACTCTGAGCCATCAAGCCACCTCATTCATTCATGATGATGTCATAAAAGAAACAATTTAATTTAATACAAGACCCAGACCAAAAATATTATACTGTCCAGGGCAATGAAAACTACTTATTCAGGTGAAATACTTGCATTTAATAGCACTTTATTTTAATACTACTTCCATGAGTTCCATCAGTGATGTGTTTTGTCTAATATGGTGAGTTTGTGGGTAGGGAACAGTACCTATAGTAAGAACAGATGCTATACCCCCTAGTCAAGTGCAGTGAATAACAAGCACTCTGTATCACTTGCCAAAAGGTGTTTCTTTTTTTGGTCTAGATTTTGGCATTACTGCAGAATACCACACCAAGCGTCAACACAATGTACTGTACATGTATTAGGGTTAGGGTTAGATTTAGGGTTGGGATTAGGGTAAGGATTAAGGATTAAGTTAGGGTTGGATTCAGGTGTAAGTCTGAGGGTTAGTGTTAGGGTATGGATTGCTTGAGTGGTGGGGGAATTCTTCTTCCAAAATGTGTATCAATATTATCACAAACACACATATTACCTTCTTTTTTAAGTCTCTTCACACAGTCTTGAACCTCTGCATTGTATCTCTTGTAGGCAGCTTCGGTGTAAGCCAATGGGGACTGGCCTGGGATAGCTAACATACTCTCATCTGCCATGAATGGGGCATGCTCAGGTGCTCCTGCTGCCAACACAGCTGTAATGAAAAATGTTATTTAAAAAGGAACTGAATGAACTATATTATTTGATATTCTACAATGGTTGTGAGAGCACCTAAATTATTAATAAATTTGGCTTTGAATGTAAGACAAACTATTCTGAAAATCAATTTATTTCTTTAAAAAAAAAAGTAAATCAAAAATTACATTCTTTCCATAGTATAAATACTTCTAAAATCATAGAAAGCATAACTAGAGGATTCAAGGCATGATATAATTACTCCTTCACCACGAACAGAAAACTACTTGACTGTATCAATCAGACAATTAATCAAACCCCCCTTAAAAAAGGCCCCTTTGACAAAAACCTCCTACCGCAATTGCCTCAGAACGGCTACGCCTGGATAGTTAGCTGTCTGAGAAAAATTCTCTGCATGTAAATGTCATAAGTAACCTCAGGGGAAAGTTATGTCCAAGGGGATCCAATAGCTGTCAAGACAGGGAACAAAACAGTCTATCAAAGTGAACTACCGGTATAGCGTTCCCTTAAAGGTCTGTATTAAATGATTCAGAAAGACCACCTGCTCATAGCGAACTCTGTTCTTACCTCCCTTGAGTGATCTTTATACATAGGTTTCACTCTATTACTTCTTGGGTCATAGATGCTTTTTATCAAGAGAAGCATACTTGGAGCTCTGTCTAATCAAGCCTGAATTAGAGAGGCATCTGGAATCAGGTTTTTGCCTGAAAACTAGCAATCTTAACTCAGTACCTGAAGCTGTTGCTGGACCCACTGCCTTGAGGACAATCAGCTCTTTGATGGCAGCTCCTACATTGGGCAGCTTCTTAAAGGCTTGTCGGCTAGACTTCTCAACCAGGTCTGAGCTATTGGTCTGGACCATTTCAGTCAACCTCGGACGAAACTTTCCTCTCTGCATGGTAGAAAAGAGAAAAGGAGAAGAAAAAAAAAAGAATTTTACTACCGTTACTTATTTCTTCTTTAAATTTAATGAGTCTGTAGGACTTCAAAATCTGCTCCACAAAATCAATCTGCATATTCTGCAGTATAATAACTTACTGGTAAGGTAAGAGATTATTCTTCTTCTTTTTTTCTTTTTCTACAATATGGTTTTATTGGAAGTTTCTGCCAAAATATGAAATATATTAAAGAATATACTCACACTCAATTTCCACTTCATAAGCTTTGTCAACTCCTCATGTGTAATGTATCTTTCTTTCCTCTCTTGTATGGCCTGTGAAAGTTCTGTTTGAAACCTGAGTACATAAAGCAAACAAAATAAATTATTCATTTCAAGTAGCAACTTTTCTTCACATAAAAACAAAGTTCACAGCCATGGAGGGGAGGGGGGGGGGGGGGTTACATTTTTAGTCTTTATTTATTTGAACAACATTAATACCTTATTTTAAATCTCTTTAAAAACACTCAGAGTCGAATATAGAATTCTGTCTTTTGTATATTTTTAGAAAATGAAAAGGATGATCTTTATTAAATATATAACTATAGTCTAGAGTCTACTATATAGATAAACTTCAATTTCAAATGTAATATTACAAAAAAAAACCATCTAGGTCTAGAAGTAGAAAAGAAAACAGTTTACACCAGCTTGTTTTACTTCAAATTTACATTTTTTATGACATTAAGTTCATTCATTAAATCATTTTTTTAATTCTATAGTTAAAACTTAGATAATAGATATAAGTTCCCTTCCCCTCTAATTTGTGCTTTCTCTTCTCTTTTCCGTTTCTCTTCCTATTTATGTCATGTGTTTTATTAGTTTACAACACTTCACATATAGACTAGACCAGTGAGACCTTGGCCCTGTCTTACAAAGAGTTGCAATTGATCCAAATCAATCACAAGTCGTCCGACCAATCAAAAGTTTACATACCGGTAGTTGAGATTTTCCGGGAAAAAATACTTTTAAAATTTTCAAGCTTGCTTGAATGAAAAAAACGCTCTTTAAATTGTTTTGCATTGAACTCTATTCAAATTTTTTTGGGGCTCTTTTATGACTTTCGGGGGCTCTTTTTGCCATTTTTATGACTTTCGGGGGCTCTTTTTGCCATTTCAGGGGCTATTTCGCCCTGAGCCCCTGTGTATTTTTTTCACTGGACAGATTTTTATAGTTTCATAAGGCGTTTTATTTCCCCAATCATACCAGAAGGAGTATACATTCTAATCAACATCATGTAATTTACATCATACTGACTTAATCTAGACCTAGACTACATCACATTCAGAATAATCAAAATATAATACAAAAGTATAATTCTCAATTAAGCGCTAATCAAAACAACTTTCAGTTTCATACATTTATTCGTTTAATACAATAATAGTCTAGTTAATAATAATGATAAAGTAATTAGTCATTTCATGTTTATTTTTCTTTCTTTAAAAAGCATTTTATCTGTTTGACTTTGAAGTAAACAACATTTATAAATGCTTGTAGACTACATGAAATAACAATTCTGTCAAGAAAATGTTGAAAAAAAAGCACTACTAATTCTGAAAAGAGAAAAACTCCCCCAGAGAGAGAGAGAGAGAGAGAGAGGAAGATATAAAAGTTAAAAGATCCTAGGTCTATTCAAAAGATTAATTTCTCTAACTTGCTGATCGATTCTAAGTGAAAAATGTTAAATTCCTTTTTCTAATTCTAAAGTTAAATCTAACCTACCACTTGTCAAGGTCCAGCAAATTCTTGCTTCCACCAGGCTTCTGGATCTTGGAGGCCTTGAGTTTCAGGACCTGGTTGTAGAGTTCAAGAACCTTGGTCCATTCTTCAGCAGAAGCCGACTTGAAGAAATTGTTTGTGACAGACATTGTGACAGAATCGAAATCAAAATACAACATCCACTGCACAGGTACTGAGGTGCATGCATCTCTTGCTCTCACACTTGTACATGGTTGAGATTATCGACTACATTTACCGACGAATTAGGACGCTTACCCCATATCACTGGCAAAAGACGTGACAGTTCTTGTACGGTGACCTTTAATAAAGAAAGAAAATGTATAAAGAGCTACAGTTCTATTTACATTGTCCTGCGTAATTTGTCCCTTCGACTATACCTTAATCACACACTTAGGTCATGTTCGGCAAATTCATTCGCATCAGTTGAGCCGAGAAGTCTAAGGAATGTCCGAAAAAATCATCTTTAGCAATAGGAAGACCAGCACGAAAATGTCGGAAAGCAACTTACACGTCAGTCCTCTACAAAAAACATAAAGCGAAGGAAAAAGAAAGTCAGGTAAGGATGAGAAGAACAGAAATAGCAATGAGAAGTATAAACTATTGCCCCATTCGTTAAGATCTGTGTAGGCCTAGAGGGTCTAGTGTGTATTTGAAGAGACAATTCTATTTATTTTGTTATGGGGGGGGGGGGGGGGGGGGGGGGGGGGGTGGTACCCTTAAGGGCCAGGTGATAATGTGACATATGATGATGATATATCAACTAAATTTTCATCAACATCAATTGTTCAAATAATGGCAATGATGTAAAGTTGTTATATTTCTTACCCCTTTCGTGTCAATTTTCTTATCTTTTGGAGCATTTTCCTAAAAACGGAGACGGCACAATATTCACTTTCTCACAGGTTTCACGGCAAACCGCTGCACAATTACATTACAACTGCATACTGTATCGTACTGACGAAAGGCCTGGGTGCGGGCGCATGAGCGTGCGTGAAGTTATCAACTTTATTACCGGTAATCGACTTCACGCACACTCTCGATGAAGATTTAGTTGATTTTTGGTATGCTTTAGTAGGCTATCTCAAAACCAAAAATGGATACAAAAGTACAGTATCTAATCTATAATTACACTCTAGTCTAGCTTGGGCATGTAGGGAATATAGTGAAGATTAAAAGAAGGCGATCACGATCCTTCCATGTCTCTTTTTTATCCCAGGTAAGAGCGATCCTGAAGAAGAACCATGCTGACAGGAGTACAGAGGAGGAACAAATAATCAAACAAAACAAAAAGGTTGTCAAGATTCTTGAGAAGAGGGTGCTGCTGAGAGAGCTTAATCGCCAGAAATCACAAGAGGTAAAAGACAAAGTGATGAAATATCTGGTATCCGTTCCTATCTATTCCCTCCTTCTTTTCTTTTTGAGAACCACACCATTTAATAAAATAAATACTGATTAATTAGTTTAAAAAAAGAAGAAGATAATGGAATCAAATATTTCTTGTTTTTGTTAGATAAGCTCTTCCAGCTGAAAAGGATGCGTTATATAAAGATGAAATAAATGATTTGTATAATAACTGCCACTGATATCATTCTAGGTGCACTGTATAAGTTAATAGGTATGGCTGCATGTCAATAATATAAGAAAAGGCATTGCTAGAACAAAATAACAAAGTAGCAAATGATGAGCAGCTATCACATGTTCTTTCTGAAAACTTTGATATGAAAAGCTAATATTATCTGGCCTAGATAGTAAATGACCAATGGCTGTATCCAGGAAATCTTATGGTCTGCTAGACTTAAACAACAAATCTGTTCATTGTGGACCTTTCTTTTAGGCCTTGAAATAGAAATGGAAAATTATGGATAAGCAGACCATCAAAATGAAACTTATTAATAAACAACCTGCCAAAGATATAGCAAGGATAATGTATGAATTAATGGTCCTTGATTTAGGGGTGTAGAGGTACACCTATCAATTGATAGGTTCATATCTATGGAAGAAATGTGAATAGGGGAAATGGTCACAAGTTTGCCAAAAGAATCGTAATGAGCACAGTGTCCATAAATTTGTATAAGGTCACATCCATAAACTGAGTCCTGCATATAAATGCAGAGAAGTGTATTCTTAGGGCTACAATATTACTCCATACATGTGAGCTCCTGCTTTCTCTTCTCAAGAGACTCCACGAAACCATGCAAAATGTAACACATACATTGTTGTTCTTAATCCAAGGTTGAAGATTCTGTCGGGGAACTTGAAACTAAGGTAGCAGAGCTTGCAGAAGAAGTCCAACGTGCAGAAAACTTAGTCATCTACACAGGAGCTGGTATAAGCACAGTGAGTAATAACGATGATATCAGTCTGCTTTTATCTTGCATACATACACCAGCCATCAGTAGGAGTGCGCAAGGTGTTGACAATGTTCAAGATAAATATATGCTCCTGCCTAGATACTGATATAATTTATATTGTAAATAATTATTATTACATTCTATTTTTAGTAAAATATGTAGATGCTATCCTCATGGATATATTAATGGAAAAAGGTAGCTGTCTTTTACAATAGTTCACCTAATCTTTTTGCTTTTAAATCAAGAGTGAATTGTATTTAGCCAGGAAAAGAAACAAACTTTCTACTAATTTAAAGAAGTGGCATTTTGAAATTTGATTTTATTGTGCTATGTTTTTAATTGAATGTGTAGTTTTGTTCTGAAACCTGCAGCCACTGATCATATAATCAGTTATGGACAATGTTACAGTAATACTATTTATCATTGTCTGCACGACTGAGGCACCATGGTTTGAAGCAAATCTCAGCGCGGCCTCCCCGGTGGTTTTGCCATGCTCTGGTCGGCTTACACAAGGGCAGGCTCCATTCATACTCTGCCACTCTCCCTCCCCTCTTTTACAGTTCTATTTTGGCTCATAATCATTGTTGATTACATGTAAATATTGTGATTGTGTTTTAATTGATCTAATGAAACTTACAATTGGAAAAAAGAAAGGAAGCTGTCTTTTATTTTCTAAGGGTTCTTATTTAAATAATGGTTCTATTTGGTGAAAAAGGCCTGCAAAAGTGATGATTTTATTGTCTTTTGTGTGCTGCTATGTGTAGAAAAAAAGTTTCTTTTGTCACTTATGTAAAGTTGGTCAGATATATTTCCTAGCAAAATTTGTATGCTTTGAATCTTGACACCTTTCATGTTATGTAACCCTGACAGGCAGCCTCTATACCCGATTACAGGGGACCAAATGGAGTATGGACGTTGCTACAGCAGGGAAAAGGGAGCGAACTTCAGTAAGTCCTTTGTTTCATTTAATGCATTTGCTACTCTTTCGTTCATAAGATGTTTCTAGGAAAGAAAATACTGGTCTAATATGTAGTCTCTTGATGTGTCTTGATGAAAAAAAGACCCATTAAGACCATGAATAAAGACCTATTGATAGTGGCTGGCTTGGTAATGCTTTAAATTTAACAATCACCTGATCTAACTATTGATTGATGAGATTCAACAAGCCTGAAATAGAGAGGCAACAAGAAGTAAAGTTTGGGAGTTCTTGAACAAACAATCTTTGACTCCTTGTGGTTATCATGAATGCAAGGATGCCTTTTCCGGAATGGTATAACTTGGTACAACTTGGTACAACATGTTACAATAGGGACTTTTAGATTTGGGTGGACGTGGACGTGTGACGCCCTTTTACGGCACTGGCAGTCCCGTGTGACGTCCTTTTAAGGCACTGGCAATGCCTTAAATGGTTGTCACACGTTGCAGTCCACGTTCTCGTCGTGCATATCTAAAAGTCCCTAATAGCTAAAAAAACACATGACTTGAACTGAACTTCTTCAGTGCCTTTGTCAGATCGGTAAAATAAGACAGATTTCATCATTTGAAATTGAACTTTTGTTGTTGATAGGAACAGCTCGTTGGTAGATGCAGAGCCAACCCTAACTCACATGGCACTAGCCAGGTTGGTGGAGGAAGGCATGGTAAGCTCTTCATAAGTAACATTCCTTTATGAATCCTATGTTATAACTATGCAATTTCATAGATGTTCTTATTGCTCATGTACAGTTAAGGTTAGCCCCAAAAGACGTTTTGTCAGATAGTGTAGAACTTTAGTTGATAAGTAGCAACATACTTACTTGCAGTACTAAGCTGCTGTGAAACTGATTTGTTTTTAAGTGAAATGTTGAACAAAAGAGAGGTGAAACAACGAGTGATATGCCTGACCTGGATTGTAAATTTCTTGCTCTTAAATTCTGAGGAGATCACCATGCAACAGATGTTTAAACCTAATGGTAAGCTGTTTTCCACAATATACACCAACGTCCGAGCTTACTGAGTGAGGGTTGCTGCAGCAAAGAAGCAAAAGCTAGATAGGATTAGATCAATAGTAACTCACTTATCAAACTGATTGCGTTTTCCTTATGACCACTTGTAGGTGAAACATATCGTATCCCAGAATTGTGATGGGCTTCACTTCAGAAGTGGTGTTCCCCCGGACAGGTTATCTGAGCTCCATGGCAATATGTACATTGAGGTAAGAGCAATCAGTTCCTTTAGAAATTTCATTTTCTGGTAAGAGGAACAGTCCCAAGTCACCCAAGTCCATAACGCTTGGATCTAGCTTCTAAATATGTTATTATATTATGTCTATTTTACTGTGAATATAAAGACACTTTAAAATGACTTATGAAATTAATGTTCATATTATATTTATTCTTGGGAACCTACAAAAACAAGCTATGCTTTCCAGTAGGTTCCTGTTTCATTTCATAATTTCGAACTTACATTGTCTGTGCAAACAATTGATATATATGAAATGGAAATAAATTTCAATCAATCAATCAATCAAATATACTATAAATTCTGATTTTCATAGTACCTATCTTATACTCAATCAATCTGAAGAAAACATTAACATCCATTTATTTTTACAGTAAATTTTCACTTTTCATTTTTTCCCCTCATACTTCTGTTTATTTAATTTCTAGCTTTGTCTGATACCCTTTGGCAAATGTAATATTCTTATCTTCTGTCTTTCTCTATGTAGGTGTGCACTGAGTGCGAGCCAGAGAGGCAGTATGTCCGACTCTTTGATGTGACGGAGCAGACATCGCTTCGTCGGCACAAGACGAGCAGAGAATGCCACAAGTGCAAGGAGCCCCTCAGAGACACCATAGTGCACTTTGGTGAGAAGGGAGTGATAGACAAACCCCTGAACTGGTCCGGTGCCATGGATGCCGCAGAGGATGCTGATGCCATACTGTGTTTGGGATCCAGTCTCAAAGTAAGTGTCATGCTTAAAGGTATAGACCAGTTTTGGAAACGCCCCCCTCTCAAAAAGTGAAATGGAAGCTCTTATTACCAATCATGTGAAAGAATATGTTTTGACTAATACGTGATGATACAAATTTTGTCGGGAAACCGCCTACTATTATCATATCGCTCTGGCATGGACAGATATCGCGAATGCACTTCAACATCAAACATTTGGGCATATAGTAAATGCTTTTTGTGAATTTAGGTTGAAGTGTTGCCATCTAAACCTCTGAAAACAATATTTAAACAATATTGAATGGATATTTTGCATCCAAAACCTTTGAACCGCAATTTTATCACTACCGGTCTTTACCTTTAACCCATTAAGGACTTATGGAGAACTTCTTCTGTAAGTTATTCTAATTTCATGACCTAAATTCACCAATTTAATTGGTTCCAGCCTTCTAGGACATCACACATGGCGACGATTGCTCTGCGTTCAATGTCTTACACATACCAAATTTTAACTTCAACCCAAGCCCTATATTTTGGATAAAATAAAGCCCTAGGCAAATGTTCTGGGAGCAAGTGTCGGGTTCACCTTTGATAGGTATTTCCTGTATGGTGTCTTTTGTCAATCAATAAAGTGCAGATCAGAATGGACATAATTTCTTGTCAAATGTTATCTGTAATTATTTTATAGCCATTCATACTTCTACAAAGATCATATTTACAGTAGGCTTGTGGATGCACCATGTGAGAGAGAGGGAGGATTGAAGAGTCCTGAAAAGGACTCTCGGTAATCTTTCTTGAGGGTGTGTAGTCCTGAAAAGGACTGTTGCTGTATCCTCCCTCTCTCTCACATGGTGCATCCGCAAGCCTACTGTATATCTACATCATAATGCAAGCCGATACTTACAAGCAAAGATCATATTGTTGCAACTCTACAGGTTCTGAGGAGATACCAGTGCCTTTGGAGCACAGACAGACCAAAGAGCCAGAGACCAAAGTTATTCATCGTCAATTTACAGGTAAGGGGGAAAAAACCCACCTGCTATCAAAGGTCAAGGCTGTGTCTTATGAACAGTTGTGATTAATCGCAACTCACTTGTGATCGATATCAATCATAACTATGTACATAAGAGATACAAGTTTGCAAACTTGCAATTGATTGGAGGACTTGCGATTGATTCTGATCAATTGCAACTCCTGGCAGGACGACAAGTCCTAGATTATCTACATCTATCTAACTTGCAACTCCTGGCAGGACGACGAGTCCTAGATTATCTACATCTATCTAACTTGGAAATGGTATCATATAATTGATTTCCATTGATTATTGATTAATAGCTCAAAATGTTTAATTTGGTATTGTATCCGGCATTACCTACAGGACAATGGCATATATTCAACCTAGCATAAGTAAAAATCATTTCTATGGGATTGTGTATTGTGCAACAGTTATACTAGTACATTCAATGTGAATCCACTTTTTTACACTCAGTGCATAGAAGCACTTTTGCGATTTATTTTAACTGGTTTCGTGCAACTTAAACATGGATATTTGACCGCCATGATTGCTGGTGCTAGTAAGACACAAATGATAATGATAGGTATATCAGTAACAATATAGAATATAATAGACACAAAATTAAGTCTTTTGTAGTAATAATACTTATATGTAATAGAAATTTAAGTTTATGAAAAGAAAGAAAAAGTCTTTATGGAATGTTAAAGTAGGATAGTTTGGCAAGATCTCTTTCTTGAGTTTCCTTGATGCATAATTTCATGACGATTACTCCGTCTTGAGTCCATATTTTGTGATCTTTCCTCTTGTTAGCCTTTCTTTGTCCTCCGAAAGAGGTTCGCTCTATCTATCGTAAGGTGTTTCGTTTATGTATAAGGCGTTGTCTGAGTGTCGAAGTTTCATCCTAGCACCGTAGATCTTTTCTCCGGCTCTGTAGTCGGTTAAATTCACTATGATGTTCATGATCTTTCACTTCTCTCCTTTGGGTGTTCTCTGTTCCTTTCCATACCATGATTTCCTCTAGAGGGAGCAGGGACCAATCGATGACTACGATCAATGTCGGAGACATCGAGCTCGATGTTGAGTTCATCTTTGCAGATATTTCTGACAAGATCGCCTGTGAATTCTCCATCCTCCTCTTCCACACCAGAAAAAAGCAAGCAGTTCTCCTCGTAAATGGTTCTGATTCATCCTTGGTGGATTTGCGCTCTCTCACTTCTCTCTTTCAAGAATCTATTCTTTCGTCTTGTGATTTCCATTTGAAGTCGAGCGATTTTGTTCCCTCCTCGCAAAGAGTTTCATGGACTCTGTTGAATACCTTGCTTTTGATGGCATTAACTAACTTCGCCATGAAATTCGAGTCACTGGGGAGATTTTCGATGGCAGACTGGAAGGCAGAAGTCAGACCAGAGTCTTCAAAGTCATATTCGTGGCTCAAAGTTTTTCAGCAGGTAAATGAAGGTCGTGTTTGCGATCAGTTCTTGGGCGACTATTGGCATTCATTTTGCCGTCGCTCCGTTGGTGACGATATTTTCCCGACATTTCTTTTCAAAGCTGCTTTTCTATTCACAAGTATATGGTCGGCGGAGCACTTATGCAAACACGTTCACTCTCATTCGCACATTGCTACTACTTAATTACATTTTAAACAAGTTTCTACATCCCTTGCATTTTTCATTGAAAAAAGTATATGCTTATCATATTGATAAAAAATTAAACTACAAATGCTGTCTCATATTTGTATTGCTTGGTTTATAAATGATTAAGTAATTGATGTAAATTTGGCCTTCATTTCAGTGGACACCAAAAGACAGTCAGGCATCCCTGAAGATCCATGGCCGATGTGATGATGTGATGGCACTACTCATGAAGCACCTCAATCTTTCAATACCTCTCTACACAAGGTAAGAAGGGTACTATAGGGTAGACTTCTGTAAGAAGGTTGTTTGAAGCAAGGATGTCAACAGGGAGACATGTCAATCCCTCACCCAACATACAAACACACCCACACACGTTCAAAAGTGGAAGATATCATGACATTTGTCCAATTAAAATTTTGTGAATTTTACAATCTAAGATGCCTATTTATAACTCCCCATAAATTCTATATTGTGGGATGGGAGCCAGCCCGATAGAAGGGGCTTAGAAGGGTATACATACCATATGGAAACAAGTAGAAGTTTATCATTGGATCCCCAAAATCAGCCTTCTGCTCGAGCAAACCTAGGTGACTTTAATCTGTTATCTACTTAGTTGTATTTGAATGTGAATATAGATGTGGTGCCGAGATAAATCATCTGCACATAATTTGGAATATTTGAATTTGAATTTGAATTATTTGTTACACATACATTTTTATACAGTAGTCTTACGGTTACACCATGTAAGAGGGGGAGGATTGGGGAGTCCTGAAAAGGACTGTCGGTAAGGTTTTTTTTCTGTGTGCAGTCCTGAAAGTCCTGAAAGGACTCCCCAATCCCCCCCCCCTCTCTCACCTGGTGCAACTGTAAGCCTACTGTATATCTACATCACCATGCAAGCTGATACTTACAAGCAGCACTTACATTTTTGTCTTTCTCATTAAACTCTGATACTCCACTTTACAGGAAGAGCGATCCCATCTTCAAAATGGCCGCTCCCATCAAGCCCCATGAAGAGGGCAGCTACTTGACAAGATCCCTCTTGGACACGAGGTTGAACTCTGAATCCTTAAACCTCAATGTGAACAGTGTCATCAAGACTGAACAAGACAACTCTGCTAATAACCTTGCATCAAGTGCACTCTCACAAAAACCAAAGTCTGATTGTGCCTCGGAAGGAAATTACAACGACAGTGAAGATACCGAGGATTATGAAATGGAGATTCCTGTTGCGTTGCCATCACTAGAGGGCGGTGTTGAGGGAGAAGGGAATATGCCTGGCTGGTTTGGGAAAGGATGCAGGAAGAAGGTGGTAAGGAAAGTTGGAAAGAAGAGGCGGCGATCAAGAGTGTCCAGCGTCGAGATAGGGACTTGATTGTCGGAGGGGGCAAGTTTAATGTCAGACGTGTAAAATAAATCATAAAACAGAGATAGTAGTAAATATTCTCAGGTTAGATTTAGCTGCTGCCATTTTTCTAAAACTTCCATCTTTTTTTATAGTCAAGAACATAGTTATGAAGAAGGACAGATAACGTGTATTGTTTTTCATCACCAGAGTGGCCAATTTGATGTCAAAGAAATTGTAAAATCATCCACAAAACAAACCTGTCAACATCCCTACTTTATGTATCGTTCCTGTTGTATATTAACAAAACTTACATCATGTTTAATATTTTGTTTGAACAAAAATCAGTGGGATAGCAAATTTATTGTGTTTCTGAGTGGAAAAAATTAATCTTTTTTTAGATAAATCTGCAAATTAAAAAAAAAACTACATGCTTTTGAGTATTAAAGCTCCTATTCGTGTTTCTCAAGTTTCTACTTCTAACTAGAGTTTAAGGCACAGTTGCTCTTAGGAGTGATTGGAGAACCCAAAGTTAATTTAAAGTGTACCAATCACCTGAAAAGAGTAATTCGTGTTAAGGTAAAATGATCAAATCAACCTCAAAATAAATTTACCTGGCATTCAATATTAGGAAAAAGGTTAAGGAGTAGGAAGAAATCAAAAGATAACATAAACCCTGCGTATTGCAATCATGGTCAAGTCAGACTTGGGTTCCGTCCCCATCCTAATCTATGCAAGTGCATATGCATGGGTTCAGTAGTCTACACAACAAGATGTTTTATAGTTCACTGAGATTGTATTTAGATTGCAATATCTCTTTTTAGAAGTAATATTTGAAGCTCATATTTTGAATACTAAATAACCTCATCGAACCTCTAACATAAAGAGCAATACATGTTTTTAGTGATTGGAACACTTTAACATTGTCTATAAAAGAAAGCAGCAAGTAAAAAGAGATTCCAAATCAAACTAACTTAATATGATGAATGAGCAATCGGTGTACCTATATACACTTTCTCCAGGATTTGAGTGTCTTTCTTGACGACAATATACCTCTCTTTTTTAGATTATATTCTTCTTACTTGCATTTTTGTCTGGCAATGAAAGTGTTGTGTCCATGTTGTGAAACCTAGAGTTTGGTTATGCATTGGCTGACAAATTAAAGTTAGAAATATCACCTGAAACATCGGAGGCTATTTAAACAAAAAGTAGTTCTGTTTGGACAATATTTGTTTCTGACAAGCCTGACATTGTGTTGGGTGATAGTCCAATCTAGCAACAACAAATAAATGCAAAATTTCAATTTACAAAACAAGTCATGTTTAATGTGATGTTTCTTTGTCATGTAAAAATGACAACGAATCATTCATTTGTAATTCATATGCATTTACAAAAATGATCTATCAGGCTTCCGACTTCAAAAGGGGTGCTTGAAGCACTGTTAGACTCTGCATGGCCATTCATTAGCTCAAGGTTATCTTTGCATTGTAGCATGTAGATAATCTCATGCGATTAGTTTGTCTTGTTATATGCATTGTTCTGTTTATCAGGTGTCCAAAGTATGAGTATAATCAATACATATTTTTGTCAAGTGCTCATAATATTTGTAACCAATGTTTTTTAACTGTCTTGGTTATATTGTGCATTGTCTTAGAAAGTTGACTGGCATAGATAGAGCAATAAACATGTCTATCAATATTGTAATTTCAGGCTTTTGTAGTATCAGAATTTTTCAGTCTGGCATGATACCTCTTTCGATCACACCAAAATGTAGGCCTTATTTTCTATGAAACCATGTTTTTTAAACAATTATAACATTTGAAGGCACCATAGTACATGTGGGTAATGGGAATAAATTACAGATAAGTTTCATGCATACTTGTTTAAACAAAACTGTGGTTGAAAATATGATGAGATTAGTGTAATGTCTTTTATCTTTCAATATTGTATAACACAATTAGTGGGTATGCTTAATGGGCTATTGTCGAGTGCAGTTGTATCTTTTTTACCCCAACACAATGGCCCCTTTTCATTCATTAACATGTACCATTTTGTCATGATAGTCTTCTCAGGCAGTTTACCATTACTTGGCTCATGACAGAAATATATGAAATGCATATATCCTATCCTATTTGTATGCATACATGTACTTATGGCAATTTTGTGGAATTTTTTGTTTGTTTCAAAGTTTTATATGTACTTACATCATCTTCCAAACTTCAAACAGGACATCCATAATGTGGAATTTTACTTTCTTCCAGGATATTTAGAATGCTGTGCATAATGGAAAATGGTTAATTCTGACATCGATATATAAAAAACTAAACAGCTTACCGGTATACAGGGTACTTATTAACAGCCAAGGCAGTTATGGTCAATTCTAATTTGTGCAAAACAGAGCAGCCTACTTCTTACATGTAATGTTTTTTGTCATTAGCTAGTAAAACAGTTTATATCAAGGGGCAGGAGAAGGATATGCCAGTTCATAGTTGCAGTCTGAGCATGAGCAGAAAAAGGTCATTGCAGACTAAATTGTGAAATACACGGAGACGGAATACTGGATACGTGCTCATGAAAGATATGTATCGAAATCATTAATCATTCATGCACAAGCAGTGCACTCCATGATACACAGGTAGAAGTATTCTTTGAAAAGAGGAAACCAAGGCTAAGTATGTAGCATCTCCATTGCTGTAGGATAGATTATTTCAAAAAGTACAAAGTGGGACCCTTCATGTTTTGAAGATCTGTGGATATTTGGGGTCATTTGGGACATGTGCTAACTGTGAACTGGTCTATTGTAAGCATTATTGATTCAACTATGCTTCTACATGGAGGATGCTACTTGGTAAAGATCACCTCAGAAATTGATGTATGATTTTACACGATCCATAATCATAGAGTACATAATCCAATTGCCTCCTACATCGTAGTGTACTGGTAGTTCTCCTCTTGAATGTTTATATTTGATCTTTGTGAGTGTTGTGTGAATCATAGCATACTAATGGTTTAGTCAAGCATGTATGAGAAATTTAGCATATAGTTTTCTTCCAAATCTATGAATAGACAGGAGCAACAACAGATGCCATGTAAGTGTAGGAGTCTTCTATTTCGTCTGTTTTGTCAGACGATTCTTCACAAACAATTATACCTCAGTTTTGTAGAACATAACAGTGTAAGATTCAATCTACCTGGCTGTCTCCCTAAATATGGATAAATTCAGGCCTTGCGTTTTTTATCAGGTGACAGGAATACCATTCATTATGTTTGTTAGCCATACAAATGTGTACATTAATGTAATAATACGACAATATCAAGAGATAATGTTTTTTTTTACTAGTGTTATGAACCTGGCTATAGTATGACTGCAGTATGACCCCAAATCTACTCCCCCCCTTTGTATGCCTTAATACTTCAAGGGGAAGTCCACCCTGGTATTATCTTGGTTTAAGTAAAAGCAGAAAAAATAGAGAAACAAATTAGGGAAAGTTTGAGCAATATTTGATAAAAAATGCTATGATTTTTTTAAGTTGTCATCAGTGAAACAAGAATTGGTAACAGTGAGACATATCTTGCGTGCTCCTTTCCAGTTTGCTCTGTACAGAAAATTCATAAACTTTCATTTTCTTAGTTATTGATGACAGAATAGACTCGTTTCATACAGGGGTTGTATAAAAACATTTTTGCAATAATTATATTTAGGTTGAATGTATGATTGAAAATTTTCTTACAGGGAAATATGATACCGTTTTTCAGTACAGGGCAAATGAGAGGAGACCTTGCAAGATACGTCACATAGGTGCCAATTTGTGTTTGTTTTACCGCACCTTCAAACACTCATAACTGTTTAAATATTTGTAATCGATCTTTGCTGAAACTTTCACCGACCTGTTTTTCTCTAATTCTTAATTATTTTATTAAGACCATCTTGATATAAGGTTGGACTTCCTCTTTAAGTGATTCTCAATTTTCATTTTTATTGCAAAGCTGTTAATATTTGCCAAAATTCTATGACATAGAATAATGCAATCACAGATAAATTAATTGTAGCAACTGCAATTCGCAGAAGTGAATTTCCTGCTGTGAAAATATTCCAATAATTCCATCATGAAAAAAATTGCAAAAATACTTAGTTTTTCAGTATACATGGAATTTTAAGAACATTTCCTACATTTTCTTATGTTAAAAAGATAACTCACGGGTGTTAGAAACACAATAGAAATATGCAATAAGGAATCATGTGTAAGTTTTATGCAACATCTGCAAAATGAAATTATTTAATATGGTCTAAGGATGTGATTTAGGACAGGGATTTATATTTTATTATGATATTTCAAAAGGTAGTGCTTTTAAGTCTTACTTTTAAGTCACATTTTACATAATTGTTTCACAAATCCAGTAACTCTGATTTCTTCCAGTACACAACATTTTTACCATTACACAATGAACAGGAAAAAGTCATTTGTCACATTTAATATATTAGCATTAGTTTTCATTAAATATCATGTATGATTAAAAGAAGAATATGAAACAATATAGAATGATTGATTTTCGATAGCGTTTATTTGACATTCTTTCACAAATATGAAAATATATACTGGTTGCTACAGCAATCACCGAGTTGAAGGACCGCAATGGCTCCTCGCTGCAAGCAATTAAAAAGGAAATATCGCTACCAAACATAATTTCTAATGATGGAAATTCAAGAAGAACACACAGTATGTTTTATAAAACAATTTCATATTTTATTTAAACTATCACACTTTTATTTCTTAAATTACTTTGCCTATATCTTATTCTGTTTTTTCATCCACTTCTTTGACGTTACCTAGGAATAAACAGATGTTATAGAATTTAATGTAAGAAATGTATTCAGAACATTAGATTGATGTTACTCTGTGTGCTAGCAATACAAATTCAACTTTGTCATTTTAAATCTAGTAAATCATTTTTAGTGAAGAATTTATTGTGACCCACTATTGAATATCAGATAGATCTTTCAGATGTATTTTAAGTGAATTTTGTAGACTGTAATAAATATGCATTGATATCACAAATAATCTATTAATACTCCATTGTTATATATTTGAATGTACAGAGTTCGTTATTTATGCATTTATGCTATACACATACATGTACAGGGATGTCGCTAGGTGTTCTGGCATTTGATATATTTCGTGTGTTTTTTTTGTTTTTTTTAGCTTTGTATATACAATTAAATGAAGACAAAAAATGGACTTCTTTTCCCATTTTCGATTTTTTTTTTTCCTTGAAATTTTTGGTGGACCCATGTCTTGGAAAGCCCTGTCAAGTATGAAAATATCCCCATCTCAAAATTATCTAGCAACACCCCTGTCATTGTATTGAAACTAAAAGGGCATTTACAAACAGCTGCGAGAATTTGTGGAATAGAGATTGAAGCTCTGTTATTGTTCAACAATTTGTGCGGAACGATAATATATATACAATCCCTCTAATTATTCATAAAATAACAATCAAACTTTGATGAAGTTCTCGTTTAATCTTTCTATTATAGATCATTTTAATATAATTTTTTTTTTTTTTTAAATATAATATAATTTCAAATTATCGCTACATTTACTATTTTCCTATCATGTAGTATTCCGTGTAGAATATACAAACATAAAAAACAAAGTACCATAGATGGATATATACACAAAGTCATCTCCACGGAACTATAAAGCTAGAACTAAAATATCTTTATTTTAATTCATTGTCAAATAATTTACTTGAAAATAGCAAATATGTACATATTATCACTGAAATACAATTCATTGATAAATAACATTTGGCTTTTATTTTAACCAATGTAGCCACATCAAAACATTATACTCCCCTTCTTCCTGCAGGCCCTGCAGTTGTATTTACCCCCGGCAATTGCAGCAAGGATATTAATGTCGGGCTGTGATTCGAACCTTAAACCCTTGGATCGACAGTCAAGTGAATTAATGAGCTGCTATACCACAACACCTCTAAATGAATGGGAATTGCCCTATCTTCAATTCAACTAAATGACAAATCATTTACTTGAACAAAGCAAACTAAGTGAATGCTGAAAAGATGTGAGGTGGCCTTTCTGCTTTGTGTATACTCTTTTTTTTTATAGTGATTTGATGATGAATCAGTTTTTCAGAGACAGGTACTGACATCCAGAGTCCCTTAACGAGGCAAAGGTCCCCTTCACCGCGCAGAACTAGCTACATCGAGGCCTCTTTATAATGTCCTTTACGTTTAGGCAAGCATCGGCATTATTCAATTTCCCCCACCCCTGGGAAAAAAACGTGTAAAAACACGTTAATTTTACCTTTAAACAAATTGGGGCTCACAACCCCCCCCCCCCACCCCGTCCCCACTAAGCGAATTATCGGCCGACTGTTTCGCCGCTAAATTTTTTCTCACGAATTGGGCCCCCTCCCCCGCCGGCGGTTGGATACGCCCCTGGCTCCGACCCTTCTAGCCATGAAGGATCAGAAGTACGTCATCTCTGTTTACCCTCAGTTTTATTTACAAGTCCAATCCCTGTTCAGACAAGTCTCATCAC